GTAAGGGTGTGGTGGTCAAGGACACAGCCAGTGCAAAGGCCTGGAGGTGGGCTCCAGGGTAGGAGCAGGGGACTGGGGTTTGGCAGGGAGGAGGAGTTTGGATTCTTCTGGCTCTTCCGTTCACCTCTGGGTGATCCGGGTAGTTCATCTGGCCACCGGTAAAATGAGGGAGTTGGACTCCACCTCATACAGACAGTCTGGTTCCCAGAGCAGCCTCCTCAGGACGCCCATCCCTCTCGTGCATAAACCCACATTCCTCATCCGGGGCTATTTTGCCATTTCCTTTCATGCTAAACCAAAGGGCTATTTTGGACACTCCTATAAGCAAACTAATCCCTGGCTGGCATTTGAGCGGATATAAAAGAGCCCTAAGTGAGGGACTCAGGCAAAAGCTGTCCAGCCCTGAGAGCCCATGCTGTTAAATTTAGAAGCGTTACCTCCAAATGAGGTGAAATTGCAGGTTCCTCTGGCCGGCGGGCAGCTCTGGGCAGCAGTGAGCAGGACAGATTTAGCGGAGTGGTTCCGGTTCCCCCCATCTGCACCTTGGGGAAGAGGCCCGGGACGGTTCCGTCAGTGTCCGGGGAGCAGCTGGCTGGGTGAGGAGCCCCTTCGGCCGGCCTGCCCTCCTCGTGCTCACCAGCTGGGTCCACGCATCAGGTGCTGCCCGGGTGCCAGGCCAGACAGAGGCCGCGAGGGACACGTGGGGAAGAGGCAGTCCTGTCTGCCACCAAAGGTTTGGGACCTGCATGACTTCTGTGCCCCTCTCCTCTGCCCAGGGCCCCAGCGAGGCCCCGGGCAGTCTTGCATGCCCCGCAGAGTGCTGGCTGCCAGGGGCTGCCCTGAGCCACCAAGTGTCCCTCCCTAGGCACTTTCCAGATCTGCCCACAATCCAGCAGCTAAAGGGTAATGCCAGCGGGGGGAGGGGAGGGAGGAGGGTCTGGGGGAGGAGCAGGGTCTCCAGCTTCTGTTCTGAGTGGTCAGTTCCCTGTTGTGTCGATTTAACATTAGGAGTATCACCGTTGGTCAAAGGTGACAAACATCCATTGGGATATGTCAGGAGCCCACTGAAGGCTCCTGGGATTCCAGGGGTCTCAGCCCGGCCATCCCATTCCAGGGGTCTCAGCCCGGTCCACCAGAGGGGGCACAATTTTGCAGCCACAAGGGTCAACTACAAGGGATCCTCCTCACCAGGGCTCGTCTAGGATGGACACAGGTCCAAAGGAGTCCACAGGGACCTGGGCTCCCACACCCCGAAGCCTGCAGGGGAAGGAGCTTGATTTTCCTAAGCCACCCTCAGGGCTACACTTCTAGCTTGGCAGGCCCTCTTCATGGACCTGCTTCCATGCTGAGGCCCCTCTTCTCTCCCCACCAGGCTCATGGGAGAGGAGAGAGGGTATGTGTCTTCAGCACAGCCCCGGGGAAGCAGGTGCAGCCTGGCACAAAGTGGCCACGCTTTGGAGCCCATCATGCCCAGGTTCAAATCTGAGCTCCGGCAGTGCCTACCTGTGTGGCCTTGGATGAGCCATTTCCTCACCTCTCTGAGCCTCGGTTTCCTTATCTGCAAAATGGGAATGATGATAATAGTATTTGCCTCATATAGTATTGGGAGAATTAAATGAGATTTTAAGCCCTTAGAGCAGGTGGCAGGCAGAGTGCTGGCTACCCAGGGGTCATGCATCACTGGCCACTGCGTTTGTCAATAATGTTTTATTGGAACTTAGCCAGGCTCATTCATTTGCACTTTGTCTGTGGCTGCTTCTGCTCTAAAACGGCAGAGTTATGTAGTTGTGACAGAGACTATATGGCCTGCAAAGCCCAGAATATTACTCTCCGGTCCTTTACAGAGAACATTTGTTAACCCCTGCGTTGGAGTCCGGCACATGGTGGACTTATCCTTATCTTTGTTCTCCCTCTGCCTAAGCCTTGGGCCACACAGCCTGCCGAAGTGGGGGAAGCAGAGTCAGCTTTTCAGTCCTTGTCCTGTGGTCCCATAACTATGTGCTGTGACTCTTCCAAGCCCCAGAGAACACCCCTAGTCCTGCCTGCAGGGAACTCTCCGTCTAGTGGGGGAGACAGACAAGTCATCACCATTCAGTCCAGTGTAACTACAGGGAGCTGCGGACTGGGGGGAGATCCAGGAAGGCTTCCTGGCAGAGGTGACGTTTGGCCTAGAAGAGGAAGGGGTAGCTAAGAGGCCAGTCACTATGTGGCAGGTCCCTGAGCCAGACTTTTCACCTCTTAGAGCCTCTTTCCTCATATGAAAAGTTGGGGTCACTGAAACTCATGGACCTGTCGTGAGTAATAAATCCACAGCCAGGTGCTGGCCCACTGCGTAAGTCTGCACTAACACTCCCTTCCTCCATCCTCCTTTCCTAATGCTGGGCAGGAAGATGGTGGGGTTTGTTCTGGCGAACTGCACACAGAGAACTATTTAGCAATTGTCTTTCTCTCTTATCCTGAAGGACCTGGGGGAGGCTGAAGGAATGACCCAGAAGGCGTGGGTGGGAGGGTGGTGGAGATGTGGAGGGAGGGAGTTCCGGTCCCAACTCCCTGGGGCTGGCGCCAGAGCCCTGGTCCCAACCACTGACCTTGGGGATCTCCCTGCCTGCTCCCTCCTCGTTTCCTTGCCCAGCTTGCTGTTAAGCAGTTTGAGAAGGTTCTAGTGCCATTCGGAGCTTGTGCTGATAGGGGTGGGGGCAGCAGTGTGCTGATAAATGTTTAACAACCAGTAGAAAAAAAATGAAACAAAACCCAAGCCTAATTTGTAGCACTTGCCAATTTCCACGCTGTACATAATCCTATTGTGGCTGATTTCAAGCTACCAACATTGCTGAAAATTTTAACAGTCGACTCTTGTGAGCTGGTCCAAACTAGCAGCAGAACAGCACAGGTAGGGGCCGTGGGGGTCCTCCCTGTGGGGTGGGGGCAGACCCCTGGGGTGCAGGATGCCTCCTGACCACCTACAATGAGAAGTGCTGGTGTCAGCATGGGTCACACTCAGGTTCTAAGCCCGGCTCTACTGCTTCCTAGCTGGGTCCCTTGGCTTGGCTTGTTACCTCTCTGAGCCTCAGTCTCCTCATCTATCGGAGTAGGTTTGCAATAGATCCTATGTGTCGAGGGTTGTGTGTATCTAATAAGAGAATTCACACAGGCATTTAGTGCATGGCTGGCTTAATTACGAGCACTCAGTAAATGATACCTCCACTGCCAGGCTCCCTCACCTTCCCCATCAGGACCCTGTGCCGCTGTTCACGGGTCTGCAGCTCAGGACAGTCCCTGGCACTGGGGCTTGCCACACTGTGGGTGCTCAGCAACGCTCGCCAGCTTCCCCCGCCAGGGCTAGATGTCACTCATCGGCTCATCTGCCCCGGCACCTGGGGTCTCAGTCACCCGATGGCACAGAGACAACCTGCTCTTCCCAGTGTCTGTTTCACTTTGTGTGCTGTCAGCACATGTTTCTTTGGTCCTTTTCTGGATTTCCACCTTACAGGTGGGATCACCAAGGCCCAGAGCCGATGAGTGGCACAGCTACAGATAGGGACTGAGCCCAGGTCTGGCTTTTTTGTTTCCGGTGCTCACCTATGCACAGCACACGTGGGGCTGTTGGTTGTGGGGGATGTTGGAGGAGAAGGCTTGTGGGGGCTGCACAGATCTGCTGGGGGTTCAGAGTGAGGGTTCTGGAGACCATGGAGGGACCGACTACAAACAAAATGCAGGACTAGACGCTGGGCAGAGGTGACCCCAAAGAGAACATTATTCCATGCAGAGGCCCCAATGTGGGCAAAGGTGTGGAGTCTGGACTCAGCCGCTGGGTGGAGGGACGTGGGAAGGCAGGGGCCTTACCGAGTGGGGATACAAGGGAGTTGGTGGAGAGGAGCTTTCCCAGGGCAGTGAGGTCCCTGGCATCTTTGCACTGGCCCTACCCTGGCTGAGGCGCAAGGTATGAAACTGTAGCAGCAGAGATTTAGGTTAGATATGGAGGAGAACTTTCCAATGGTACTGGAAGACACTGGGCAATACTCCCAAGGGCTATGGTGCATTTTTCCAATCTTGAGGTAGATTGGAAAAAAGAAAAGCCAGCCAGGTTCTAGGCTGGCCTCACTGCAGCCTGACTCAGAGACGGGGCAATGGATTACAGCTTCTGGAAGTCTTTGATGCCTCATGTGAATTGGGCTTCATCACCCCCTGCTCAAAGCCTCCTATGGCTCCCAGTTACCCTCACCCAATTGCAAGGCCAAAGTCCTCCCTGGGGCCACCAAGGCCCCCTGACCTGCACTCTGCTGGCCTCTCCAACCTCACCTGGAGCCACACCCCAACCCACTGAATTTCTTTCTGTTTCTGGACTCTACCCTGTCCTCTGCACTTCCAGGCCTTTGCTCATGCTGTTCCCTCTACTTCAGATACCCTTCCCTCCCTCCCCTTCCCCTTCTTCCCTCCTTAGCCTTTCCTTCTCAGCTCTTGGTTGCCTTCTCCATGGCTGGGACAGATCCCCAGTCATTTCACTATGGGCTCCACATGGTAACTGGGGTTCATCAGCCTCCCTGCTGGACCCGGAGCCCTGAGGGGTGGTGGCAAGGACTTTGCCTGTCTCACTCAATGTGTCTCCAGCACCGTGTCTGGCACACAGTGAGTGCTCAGTTTGTGGAGGGGGGTCAGGGTCACTGGCAGAGAGGAGTGGCTGAGGGGAGGGGAGAAGAGCTGATTCAGCAGTTGCTGGCTCCCCCTGTGCGAGGACTCAGCTTTGCTCAGGCATTAAGGACCCAAGTGCAGACAGGATACAGAGACTTGGGTTTGAATCTTGCTCCTGCCGCTTGCCCCAAGCAGGCTCCCTAACCTAATCAAGCCCCAGTTTTCTCATCTGTGATCTGGGGACAGTACCGGCCACCCATCTCTGGGGGCTGTTGTAAGGTCTTTGGGGGCCACGGTGGAGGGTGGCTGGCCTGCGGTCAGCACTCACCAGGTGGCAGTGTGAGGCTGACTGTCCTGTCCTCCCCCTGCAGGTGACGGCCATGTCAGTGAGGGTGCGGTTCCTGTCCTCCGGGGACACAGGGGCCGTGGGGGTCATGGGCCGGAGCGCCTCCTTTGCAGGCTTCAGCAGTGCCCAGAGCCGGAGGATCACGTAAGTTCTGCCTGGGCCTTGTTTGAGGGCCAAGGGTGGGTGGTAGGGGTGGGCAGGGACAGCCTCCTCCGCTGCCAATGACCCTGAGGCTCGCTCTCATGCCAAGCCTGCAGCCCAGGACAGTGTGTGTGTGAGTCTTGGTGTTGGGAGAATCCTGTAATTTGCTTCTGATCTGGACAGGTATCATCATGTTCCTGGCAGTTGATCCCAGAATTTGATCTGTCTGAGTTTATCAGGCCCACCTGGCAGATCAGAAAACTGAGGCTCAGAGAGGTGGCACCGCTTACCCAAGGTCACACAGCAAGACTGGTTCAGAGTTAGAACTTAGTCTCCTAGGGGCAGGGCTAGTATGGAATGTTCTTCCTGTTTAACAGAATGAGAAATAGGGCCACCTGTGACCTGGGGCCAATGACTTCACCTGCGTCTGGTTTCCTCATCTGCAAAATGGGAATCACAAATGTCCCACCCTCACAGGCTTGTCATGAAGGCACAATGAGATGACACCTGACAAGCAGCTGGCACACAGTAGGTGCCTGTGGGGAGTTTCAAAGGACAAGGAGCAGCCCGGTCGACACTGAGCATCCGGGCACAAGCTCATGGCTGCTCTGCCGGGTGTCTCCTCTAGCTGCAGGTGATCCCCAGGAGGAAGGGCCGTCTCTGCCCAGGCCAGCTAGGTCTTGGGCTCCAGGCATCCTGTGAGGCCCAAACATCTGCCGGTCTGAGCAGATGTGGTGGACAGGCAGGACCCCCAGCCAGAGCAGGGCACAGAACCTGATTGATCAGTGAGCCAGTCAACAACCAACTCTCATCCTGGCACTTCCTTGCTCGAAAACTCCAGAGGTTCCCATCCCACCTAAGATACCATCCAGGCCCCTCGAGGCTGGGGTCTGGCCGGCCAGCCTTCTTCTGAGCCCTGTGCTTCAGCCACATTGACCTCGCTGCCCTCCAGGCCTGTGCACAGGCTGTGTCCCCCACCGGGAACTCCCCTGACTTCTCTTCACCTGGCTCGCTCCTGCTCAGTTTTCTTCAGGCCTTGGCTTCAATGACAGGTCCTGGGGAGGACCACAGAAGTCCCAGACAGGCCCTCCTCTCGCTCTTTCCCCAGGGCTCACCAGCTGCACATTAGACACATCCCCTCCTCCCGCCTTCACCCGTGATGCCTGGCCCCACGGTCAGGGCCTCCCTGCTCACTTACCTTGTCTCTGGGTGGCTCAGTTCCGAGGTTCCGAGGTGTGACTGGGAGGAGTGGCAACTCAGGGTTGAAATCCTGGAAGCACGCTTAGGAATCCCAAAGTCATTCTACAACTATTTATGGAGTTCTGACTCTGGTCAGACCCTGCCCCGGAATCTGGAGACAGACCAGGCCCTGCCCTCTGTCAGGGCGCAAAACAAAGCAATGATAATCAAGGTGGATCCAGCTGGTGGCAGGTCCTGTGAAGAAATTTTTAAAAACCTGGCGCATGCAGGAGGGCAGCAGCGGGCGTGGAGAAGCCCTCAGTGAGGCAGGGGCGTGGTTAAGCACAGGTGGGAGAGAAGAGGGGGGTTGATCACATGCAGACAGGGTGTGGGAATGGGGAAGCCTTCCAAGGAGAGGCAACAGCACGTGCAAAGGCCCTGAGTTGGGAATGAGCTTTGAGGGACAGAAAGTGGGTGTGTGGTCGGCTTGTGGGACAGTGGTGAGAGAGGGAGGGGGACTCCGGGGGGACTTGTGGGCCCCGTGAGGACATTAGCAGTATGAAGGGACCCACTGGAGGGCTGAAGCAGAGGAAACTAAGGCTCCAAGACAGGAGGAAATTTGGCCGAAGCCCCAGAGGGAGTGAACACCTTGGGCCTCTCCGAGCTTCCAAGAAGTGAAAGTGTGGATGCTAAGGAGGGTATAGCCCACTGGTAGAGCACATGCTTAGCATGCACGAGGCCCTGTGTTCATTCCCCAGTACCTCCATTAAAAAAAGAATTAATAAATAAACCTAATTACCCAACCACCCCAAAAATGAAAAGAGTGTGGATGCCACTGGGAGGAAGGCACACAGTAGGCACTCCATGAATGCTGCTGAGAGGGGCTAGTATAACCTGGCCAGAGAGTGATACTGTTCCTCAGCTGAACTATCTCTGCCTCTTCCTGGGCTTCATCGGGGCCCCCATGCCATGGGGTCTGTAATTAGGGCTGCTAAGGACAGCTGTGAATGTCCCCTGGCCAAGGGGGCGTCCAGCCCATGTGACGCCCGAGGCTGAGCGCCTTGGTGTGGAGCTGGGCGTCCCACAGGGCACCTTTCTCGCGAGAGGCACTACGAGGACATGGTCCCTGCGGTCTGGCAGCAGGGGAGGGGTCCACACACCCTGCAGCCAAAGCCGGCTGCCTGGGCGTGTACTCACACAGGGCCCTGCGCTTAAGAATGAACACTCTGCTGTCCATATCTCAAATTCTTTATCAGTTTTGAACAAAGGGTCCTGCCTCACGAAGTCTGTAGCCTGTCCTGCCTGCAGCTCTCCTCCTGCCAGGCTTCTGGGGGCCTCTGGACTTCACACATCCCTGGGAAATGTCCCCCTAGGCCCCAGCTGGTAGTTTTGCCCAAACAGTGAGCCAAGTGGGCCCCCAGCCTCTTGCTGCTGCCCTGAATTCCTGGGGTCACACTCTGGGTGGAAAGAGAACAGAAGGAGCCCGACCTGTGACACCAGAGCTCATTGGTCATCAGCAAGGGTAACAGTCATGTCCTGCAAATCCTGTGTCCTAGTCTGAGAAAGACGACACTGGTGTCCTGGACCCCTCCTGGGGCTCCTTGTCCTGCCTCCTGCCAGGGGATTCTGGAGGATGCCTGGCCCGAGCGGGTTCTGAGGTTCCTGGGTGGCACCGTCTGGTCTCAGCCTCCGCAGTCCACCTGTCCAGGCTGAGGAAGAAGCAGCCCATAATGGCAGAGAAGCAGCACATCTATTTTTAACTTCCTGTCTCTGTCTAATTCTCAGGGGTCTGGACTCTGGGGCTGGATGGTCTGGATTGGGTTTCAAGCCTCACTTTCTGGTCTTATTTCCAGGTAATCCAACCAGGCTGAAACATGGCCACATTGCCAAGGCACTCAGCAGTGGGAGTGGGTCAGGCAAATTAACCTTAGACAAGAGAGCAGGAGAGCAGGGCACCACTTAGTTGTCCCCAACTCTCATCCCTGCCCTGGCATCTGAAACCCCTTTGACTCTGGACAGTGTTTTTTTATTGCATAATCAAATAATTCACTTGGGGAAATAATCTGGAGGGGGAATTTTAAACTAAGGTGTGAATGACTGCTATAATAAAACCATATGTAATAATATACTAATATATATATACTAATATATATATACTAATAAATATATACCAATATAACAAAGGTAGGGGATGAAGAAGAGGACCAGGTCCTGACACTGTCTCATTCTGCCCTGACTGACAGGCACAGCTGCTCCTAACCCCTTCCTGCCACTCCTTGGCCAGGCCTCCCCTTCCCCCCACACTGCCTCCCAGGCTGTCAGGCAGGTACCCTCCTGAGCCAGGAGCCGCTGTGATGTCCTCACCGCCTTGGGAATGCCTCTGCTGGGACAGCTGGGAAGTGTAGGTGTGAAAACTAAACAGAAGTCCTTGATTTTCAAGGAGTGGAGGCTAGAGAAAGAGGTCATAGCGAAGGGCTAGACCCCAGAGGCAGGTGTCAGAGAGATGGGCTGGTACACGCGACGCACCCTTTGCACACGCCGTGTGCTTGTTTGTCATCATCCCTGTGCATCTAGCACCAGCAGACACAGGAGAGAAGGTGAGCTGATACCAAGCTTTGAGTCCTCACCTGAAGCGGGTTCAGTCAGTCCTGTTACTTACCGCCCCGCGCCCATCCCCAGCCCGCCTGCCTCCAGATCCCGCACCTGCAGCAGCCATGCCAGGGCCTCCGATAGCGTTTCCCAGTTACACCAGGTAGAAGGACAGCCCGGTGTCCCCACGTGATGGCTGGGGCCAGTGGGTCGCACGTGCCCAGCGGGAGGCTTGTCTGGCATGCCGGGGGATGTTTAATATTTACTGAGTCCTCCCAGAGCTGGTGTAACATCCGCCCCGGAGGCTGCTCCCTGCCCTGGCAGCTGTGACACCGGGCCAGACATGCAACCTGATTTCGCCATCTGGAGGCTGCACATACATCTCCGTCCCTGGCGGGGCCAGCCCTCAGAGTGGCCACCACACCTGCCCCGCTGAACCTCAGACAGAGCACTGGGCTCAGAGCTGCCCCAGGAGCCAGTGCTGTCAGGCACAGCTGCAGCAGCAAGGGTGAGGAAGTCTCCAGGTTGATGGAAGGGGGGCCCAGCTGAGGCTGTGCACCTGCAGGGGAACGTGGGCTCCTGGGTACTGGCAGGTGAGCGGGCTTCCTGCAGCCCCATCTCCAAGCTGCCTGCCCACCTGCCGGGGATGGTAGCCTGTCCGAAACCTGCTCCTCTCGAGGCTTCAGCCCTGCCTGTCCCTGCCTGCCTGGAGATGGCAACCGTATGGAGGGTGTGCTCCAAGAGGTGGGTGATGTGGCCTCAGGGAGGGGTGGGGGAGGGAGCACAGCCCCTTCTTGGGCTTTGCAAAGTGCAAGTATTTATTTGATGTGTACTATATGGATAACGGCAGGTGCATGGTGAGCACTACCGAGGTGGCAGCTTTGTGCCCGGAGTTCTGTGCACATTACCTTTACTCAGACATCACCTGATTGGAGGAGCCTTCCCTGTTTAATCTATTTAAATTCATTACCCTGACCCCTTTCCCGCCTTGGCACTAGGTACTATCTGACATATAATTAAAAAGAAATTACCTTATTTAACTCCAAACCTTATATGGCATTTACTTTTTGTGGGCCACTGTTCAAAGCCCTTTATGTTTTTTAACTCATGTAACCCTTACAGCAACCCTTTCTCTGGCTCCCATATTATAGATGAGAAAACTGAGGCACAGAGAGATTCAATAATCTACCCCAGATCACACAGCTTGTGAGTGAGGGAGCCGGATAGAGACGCTAGCGTCTGGCTCTGGAATCTGTGCTTGCTGTCACTTCCCCGGGACTCCCCCAGCTGGGATGCCGCCCACGAGGGCAGGGCCTTGGCTACTTTTCCGTCCTTGGCTCCTAGAATGGTGTCTGGTGCACAGTAGGTATTCAGGAAATAGCTGTTGAATGAATGACAACGTTGAGGGGCAGGCACACTTATTATCCCCCTTTTACAGGTGAGGAAACTGAGGCTCAAGTAGACTACGTGCCTCTGACCTCTCGGGCTAGGATTTGACCATGGGCGGCCGACCTGGGGCTTGTGTCCCATGAGCTGATTTGAGTTCCCAGCTTGGAGAGGCCCTTGAGGGTCCAGGGCGGGGTTCCAGAGCCTTCCTTGGTGCAGCATCCTTGGGACCCAGTTCTCAGTGCCGGGCAAGGCCTGGGATCTGCATTTCCTGCATGTTGGTTTTTAATGCAACTGTGCAAACCTGGTGGGGAACCTCGGGCCCTGGGGCTTGGTCCCCATCAGCAGGGGTGGACAGGACAGCTCTACTGAGTCATTGCAGGTGCCTGTGACTGTGCCTGGAATGTGCAGCATCTGGCTGGGCTAGAAATACAGCCTGGCCACCTGTGCCTGTGGGCCTCTCTGGGACCACGGCGTGGTGGTGGCCGGTGGCCCTTCTCCCAGGCTTGGCAAAGGAGCTAGAGCTGTGTCCTGCCTGCCCCCTGCCTGGCTCTCCAGGTCACAATCCTCCCCATCTCCCTGTGGACTGTGAGCCCTCCAGGGTGGGATTCTGGCCCCTTGGCTCCCAGAACAGCTCCTGACTCAGAGAAAGCCCCACCCCGTGAGTGTTTGAATATATGAATGAGTCCTGTCACCTTGATTTTAAACTCCAAAGGGCAGCAGACGGTGAAGGGCTCCTAGGGACACTTGGAGCTGGGTTTCCAGCAGGAGGATGCCTCCCAAGTAAAGCAGAGATGGTGAACCCCTAAGAAAGTGGTCCTACTGTGGTCAGAGGTCACGTAAGAAATGCAGATTCTCAGGCCCTCCCAGACCTGTGAAACCTGAAACGTTGGTGGGGAGGAGGTCGGAGGAGGTCATCAATCTTAGTCCAGCAAGTCCTCCAGGTGATTCTGGGGACCGTGAGAGAATCCTGCACCCTGCTCCAGGATTGGCGGGTAGATCCCAGGCTGAGGCCCTGCGTACATGTGGGTTTGGGCCCCAGCTCTGCTGCCTACATGATCTGGGGCAAGTCATTTATCTTAGCCTCAGTTTCCCTATCTTGCAATGAGGTTAAATATAATACTTGCCTCTTTGGGTGGTTGTGAAAGTTGATATTTACAAAAAGCTCTCAGCAAGCGCCAGGCCCCAGCAGGCACTCTGCGTGCCTTCCGTTACTGTGGCAACAGTCCGCTCCCAGGGCCCACGGGTGGGCAGGCGGTGCTGGTGGAGCCAGCAGCCCAGGAGCTGTGGCTGGAGTTTTGTTTGTCCGCTCTGTAGACATCTTAGTTGTCGTTGCCAAGGTCCTTGAAGCTGGATTTTCCCTGGGACCTGACGTTCCCCATGGTCCCCAACCTAGGGTCCCAAAGGTGGGAAGGGCCCCTTGTCCAGCCTCTCTGGCAGTGCCCCACCTCTGCTTCAGCCAAGCCTTGCCCCCGCCGTCCACCCACTCCCATCACACTCGACTCCACTAGCTCCTCCCCTCCACCCTTGCTCACTCTGTCCCCTGACTTGGAACATCTTTCCTGGGGGTACCTTTTGTCCTGTTCTTTCAGGGTCCAGCCCAGGGCCTTGGGCCCCAGGATCTCCCTTGACATGCTGTTTCCTCTCGTTCAGTTTAGCTCAGTCTTTACTGAGCACTGACTGTTTTCCAGGCTGTGGGTATGGGGAGAGATACAGAGGATGTGATTATTATAATAATGGACATTTATTAAGCATCCACTAAGTGCCCCCATTGTACCAGACGTTTGACCTGGTATCTGACAGAATTCTGAGCACCACCCTCTGACTCAGACTGCTGTTTTCCCATTTTACAGATAGAAAAATGGAAACCTGGGTAGTGTATTAGTGCAGAAGTGAAGTAGCTTCGACAAAGAAGCCCTCTAAAATAAAAGGGCTTAAATCAAATCAGTTATTCCTCCCTCTTTCTCATAACAGTGTACAGCCAATGAGTGGTCAGGCTGTCCAGGGCCTGTTCCTTCTCTCCTGTTGCTCAGACATCCCTGTGGGGGGCACAGTGCGCATGGTTGAAGCTGGCTCCCCAGTGTACATGAGGAAGATGAGGAGGGAAGGGGGAGAAATGGGAGAGAAAGGTTCTCTTCCAGGGGAGTGAAATATGTTGACTAACCCAGGCGTGGGACATGGGTTTGCCTCAGAATGCCCATGTGTGCATGTGTGTGCATGTGTGTATGTGTGTGCGTGTGCGTGAATGGTGATCTGTCAGGCCACCTCCCTCCAATACTCATGTATAAAGAGCAGGGTTGTGGAGATGCCCCCCAAAGGAAAACTGAGCTACTATTAACAGAGGGAGAGGAATGGATGCCAGGCAGGCAAAGCCAGCAGGTGCCCAGCCTCTGGGTACACCACAGGACTATGATTTGGCTTCCCATGCTGCTCTGCCTGCACAGACAGAGCTTGCTGAAGAGCACAGACAGACAGCACTGGCACACGGGCTGCTATACTATAAGTTAATTTCTCAAATCAAGTTAGTGTTATACTTTTAATCCTCAAATCCAAGCCCTCATTTTACAGATGAGAAAACTGAGGCCCAGAGAGTCTTGGCAACCTTGGCAAGCTTGGTGGCAGTGAGATGGGACTTGGCCAGGTCTCCTGACTGTCTGGGGTTCTGGCCACAGTTCCCAAAGTGCCTGCCCCCAGGAAGGGCTTTATCCAGACCTCTGCTCTGACCCCTCCATCCCTTCTCACAGAAAGTCCATCCACAGGAACTCAGTGAGACCTCGAATGCCTGCAAAATCCTCCAAGATGTACGGCACGCTGAGGAAGGGATCTGTCTGCTCGGACCCGAAGCCACAACAAGTGAAGAAGATCTTCGAAGCACTGAAGAGAGGCCTCAAGTAAGGATGGGCTATTTGTTGCAACCATGTGCTCGGCCCCATCCTTGGGCGCTGGGGACACAGTGAATACAGCAGGAGGACCCTGGTCTTGTGGAGCTCACAGTGTAGAGGGGGGATGGCAATAAAGAAGTAACGTGATCAGTGCCATAACTTCCAGTGATGAAGGTGATGAAGAGATCACGTGTGGAAGGCCTGTCATACAGGGTGGTCTGGAGAGACTCTCTGAGGGGGTTCTGATGGTTTCTGAGACCTGAATGGTCTGAGAAGGAGTGGTCTCTGGGGGACAAGCCTCCTGGGCAGAGGGAACAGCACAGGCAAAGGCCCTGAGGTAGGAGCTTGAATAACAGCTGGAGGTCAAGGTGGCTGGATTCGAGTGAAGGAGAGACTGACTGATTCACTGAGAAGAGGCCAGAACAGGCAGATTCATTCCCTTATTCCCCATATTTTTTCTGAGGGCTTGTGAAGTGCTAGGCGTAGGGTACAGAAATGAACAAAACACAATGATCCCTGCCCCATGGAGCTGCCATCCAAGTGGGCGATAGACAATAAAAAGTATAGAAAAGTAGAATACAGAGTATGTCACAGGGTGTGAGTGCTATGGGGAAAAACAAATCAGGGTAGATGGTGTGGGACTGATTTAAAATAAGATGTTCAAGGAAGGTGACATTTGAACAAAAACCTGAAGGAGTACAGGGGTGAGTCCTGCAGATAATGGGAGAAGAGCATTCCAGGCCAAGGTAGCCACACATGCAAAGGCCCTGGGGCAGGAACACGATTGGAGCAGCACCCTCCTTGCAGCGCTCACTGCCTCTGCCCCACCCCTTCTCTATCCTGCCACTCTCTCCTCTACTCCAGTCTCTTCTGTGGCTCCCTACTGCCCTTGGGAGGGCGTGCAGGGACCTTTGTGACCGTCAACCTTTCTAGACTTTCCTTTCATTATTCACTCCCTGTGCCACCCTCTTCGTGTGTTTGTGCCTTGGCTCCTGCTAAACAGCTCCGGGGCAGTGGAGAGTCAGGGGAGGCTGCGGCACCGCAGGACTCTGGTCCACCGTATGCACTTGCCAAATTGAATCCGTTCCTTCCTCCTGGGAGGCCCTGCCCTGCCCTCTACCTCTTGTGTTCCTGCTCTTCATCCCACACTAATTAATAATAATAATAATAATAATAATAATAATAATAATAATAACGAAAGCAGCAGCAGAGCAGCTATGACATGTTTGGTGCCTCATATACATCGGGTCCTTTATGCCCGGAGAACGCTGTGAGAGAATTTCTGAGCCTCCTTTTCCAGGAGAGGAAACTGAGCCCCCAAAACGGGAAGCAGCTCATCCAGGACCCCAGCCAGGAAGCAGGGAGTGGGGCTCCAGGGCCAGGGCTGCCTGCCCCACTACCCGCTGGGCTCAGCGTGAATGTTCCCTCCTCCCGGGCTGGGGCCTGGCTCCCCACGCAGGGGGCATCTCTCACCCTCCTCCCACGGTGCACCCAGTGCTGGTGCCGAGTGAGAACGGGGGTTGTGCCCCGAGGGTGGAGGCCTGTCTCCAACATGCTCCTCTCCCAGGACAGTGTGGGGATTCCCATGAGGGCCGCACGAGACTTATCTGGGGTCCGTGGCTCCTTCTTCCTGGGGAGCCCACCCCCTGAGCGAGCTGTGGCCTAGCAGAAGGTGGGACAAGTGGGCCCAGAGAGGGTGAGTCACCTACAGCAAATCTACAACGGAGTAATATGGGGCCCCCACCTGGCCTCCAAGTCCAGACCTCGGGGTTTATGTCCAAGTCTCTTTGGCTGGAAAACACAACATGATCAGTCCCCTCTGACCCACTGTTTTCTGTGCCTTCAGAATGGGTTCGTCAGGCCTCTCTCTGGTCCTTGGTGCTGGGCCTGCCTTTGTCTGTGAAGGAGGCGTGATCTCGCTGACCTCCCCGTGGGCTGGGGAGAAGACAGTGGCCTCTGGAGGCCACTGCCTGGTTTCAGACCTGGGTTCAGCCTCTTCCCTGCTGTGAAACTCTGTGCTGAGTTGCTTGAGAGTCAGTTTGCCCATCTCTGAAATCGGTATAGTAACAGTAGACCCCATTTGTAGAGCTGTGTGGGGATTCGCCTGAGAGAGTCCCCATTGTGCACAGCGCTGAGCAGACAGCCCTCGCTCGGCGTGTGGGACCCGGAGGCCGAGCGAGCGGGGGCCCGGCTCCAGGGTGCTGGGCTGGCTCTGCGCTCTGAGAACCGCAGCCGCCCTCCGTGCCGGCAACTGAGGCTGCCTCCGGCCCCGTACACCGCTCACCCGCCAGTTTCTTTCCTCCTCTACTGCTTCTCAAACTCCTTTCCCTTGTTCTGCTCACAGGGAGTATCTGTGCGTCCAGCAGGCCGAGCTGGACTACCTGTCAGGACGCCACAAGGACACGCGCAGGAACTCCAGGCTGGTGAGACCCCTCCCAGGCCCTTCCCACCGAGCAGCCTCGGCTGGGGTTCAAAGGCGGACCCCCCTTCACCCCTTGCCTGCATCACGGGTGTGAGTCTCAGTCTCCGAAATCAGAGGCTGGAGGAATGGGCCTTCTTTATTTTGTGATGAATGAACCTCACTCGGACCCTGATGAATTCAACCTCACAGGCTGGTGGGAAGCCGCCCCCACTGCCCCCACCCCTCACGTGGAGCAGCAGTTCACACATCTTACGGCCGCCTCCATCCTCTCTTTAGTTCTAGAAGTAACTTTAAGGTGGGCAGGTGTACAGAGGTGTGTATACATCAGATGGCCCTATTTTGTAGGTCTTGGCTAACCAGGCCCCGTGCATTCGGTGTGGCCTATGTGATGGCAGGAAATTGGGTCAGGCATCGGATCCAGGGTGTGTCACAGTGGCCCCTCACACTGTCCTTTATCAACCCTGCATGCTCCCGCAATGTCCAGCAGCTCTGCAGTTTTGCTGTCATCCGGGGCGCATCTTTGAGGCTACCCTGGGACCCATTTAGCCCAAGACTCACTTGCTCTGGGCTTTTGCCATCTCCTGAGAAGAGCCAGATTTAGGGAAAAAACAAACAAAAACAAACCCCACAAACCCCAAAAACCCAAGGCCAAAAACAAACAAAAAATAGGGTGCCCAGTTAAATTTGATTTTCAGAGAAATAAATCATTTTCAGTACAAGTATGTCCCATGTAATCTTTGGGACATACTTATACTAAAAAAGAAATCTATTTATTGTTTATTGGAAATTTAAATGTGACTGGGTGTCCTGTATTTTACCTGCCTGCCCAGCTAGGACACTGCTGCTCAGGTACCTCCGTCTCTCCAGTGAGGGGCTCTTTCTTTCTGGTCTCGGAGAGTCCCTCCCAGCCTCCTCTATTTGGCTGCTGCCTTGTGAAACCCCTCTCATCCTTAATGGGATTAGATTTCTGGAAACAGAAAGCAGGAGGCCTGGCTGCCTGTGGCTTTCTCCAGCTTATTCCAGCATCGCTCCTCCAAAGCGCCAAAGCATAGAATAGGCCACCTGATGGGGGGACTGCAAAAACAGGGAGTGGGAAATGAATCTTATCAAAATAGTATCCAGCCACCTCTGTATCCTGGCCCCAGAGGAGAAGACCTCAGAGGTCGGCAGGGAGCAGGGCCCCCAGCCTCACGAGTGTGCTGGCCCACTAGGGGAAGGAAAGGGCTCAGTCACATGCCCTTGGTGGGCAGGCAGGTCAGCGTAGAAACAGAAGGCGCTGCCATGATCCCATCCCTGGTTCCCAGCCCCTCCTAGCACTTGCTGCACCGCCCACCCGTCGTGGGTATGTCTGTTCTTATGTCCCCGGGGTCTCTCTCTCTCAGCAACAAAAGCAACTCTAAGGGAGGTGAGTTCTGTGCAAAGGTCTGTGTGTTTTAGCTGTTCCCATTTCATAGGTGGGCACACTGAGGCAGGGAAGGGGCAGTGACTGCACTAGGGCCTCCTAGGCGGCTGGTGCATGTGGGGTCTGGTTCGCAGCTTCCAAGAAATTGCTGTGTAGTTACTTTTTCTCCGAAACCTTGGGAACTTTCCAATTTCTTAATTTCTTATATGGAGTGTTAATTTCATAATCCCACACGTGCATGTCACACAAATGGGAAAAAAGACTCCAGGGGGTTTAATCCATCTTTTCCTTCTTGCTTGAACCCCCACCCACTCCAACCTTCTCTGTCCCACCCTGTTTAACCCCTGAGGACAATCTAGTATTTATCATTCCACATTTTTCTCCCCGGTCACATAATCATGTAAATAGACAGACAGTGTGTAGAGAGGGTTTTGGTCAACAGTTGTCTTATAAAAATGAAATCACAACTTACATTCTCTGCCACATCTTGCTTTTTCTTCTTAGTGGATCTCCAACCCATGGAAATTCTTCCAGGCTCAGATACAGTGAGTCTAACCCACATGGGCAAAGCAGGGCCTGTTCTGGAATTAAAGTTTATATGAACACAGCCATACTCATCACTTATATATTGTCTATGGCTGCTTTCCTGCACCAAGGGATGGAACCATATGGTCTGTAAAGCCTGAAAATTTTACTATTTGATCCTCTATACAAAGATTCACCCACCCCGACAATATATTCCTTTTGCTGGCCACACCATGGCCCTGAGTGGGGATGAACCAGTCTAGATCTGCAGCTTCCTGAAGCCTGAACTCCTGGGAGGTGCCAGCTGCCTCTCCCATTCTCAAATTCTCTGGTCATGACTGAAGTCACTCTTTAAACAATCAAATCACAGTGGTCCTTCTCTTGTTGAGTGTTTACACTGTCCTTTACTCTTCAGAACAACCCTATAGTGTAGGTTCTATGGCCTACCACATTTTATATAGGGCAATGGAGGCTCAGAGAGGTTGAGTAACTTGCCTGGGACACACAGCTGGGAAACAGAGTCAGGCCTAGAGCTGCCTCACCCAAAGCAAATGTATTTAATCATTCTTCCCCCTCTACCTGGACAATAGCTTGCTGACTACAGGCCTCAGAGGATGAAGTGGCCACTGGCATTTTGTCCTCTGAGCTCAGGTGCCCCTGGGATGTAGCCTCATGGGTCTTGGAGGAGCACCGGAGCCCTGATACCTCCTCCCTCTCTCCTTTCCTTCCCCATAGGCTTTCTATTATGACCTGGACAAGGTGAGTGAAACATCTGTCTGCACTTGGTAAGCAAGCTGGGCGGTGCCTGGGCCCAGCTGGAGGAGAATAAACTCTTTGCTCACATCCCATCCTCCTGGCTGTCCAGAGGAGGAACCCCTGGGCTTCCTCCCCACTTTACAAGTGGGGAACCTGAGGTCCATGATGAGCCTTCCTCAGGGATGCTGAGGCACTGGCCTGGCTTCTAGCCCAGTTCTCTGTGTTAGGACCTGGAGGAGGGTGGCAGGGGGCTGGGGGGCTGGAGGGTGGCTCAGGCTACTTTTAAAGCATCTTCTCTTTTTCTGGGAGAAGCAAACACGCTCTGTGGAAAGGCACATTCGGAAGATGGAGTTTCACATCAGCAAGGTCAGCCTGGCTTCTGGGGTGGCCCAGTCTCTCAGCTTGCTGGGCCTCTGCTGGGTTAGCAGGGGAAGATTCTCTGGGTGCCAGGCAGCTAGAGAAACGACAGGGGCTCAGCCCTGAGGTGGGGATCAGAGGGCTGGGTTAAGGCTTGGGAATCCTGAGTCCAGCCACACCATTGTACAGATAGGAGAGTAGAGGCCCAGAGAGGGACCAGGTTTGGCCCAAGGTCGCACAGCAAGTCCCTCAAGCTTTATATTCTCAAATTCTTCCCAGTAGCCCAGTGGGTTGGCAGAAAAATCACAAATCCACCTCTTCTACTTCCCAATAGAGAAATTGGACAGGGAGAGGGTAAAGGATGTACTCAGCCACCCAGTTCACTAGTTCTGTTGTGCACTAGCTGCGCGCCAGCCGCTGCCGGGTGCTGGGGATACGATGTGGATGAGACAGAGGCAGTTTCCGCACCGGGCCGTGGGCTCCCATTTACCACCAGCGGGCGCAGCGCTGCCCACAGTGGAGCAGGGTGTGAAATGGGGCCGGGGCTGGGGTCGGGTCAGAGCTCAGGGGTGAGTGACAGGCAGATCGGGGCCCCGCCCCTCGGCGTGGGCAGCGCCCACTGGCCAGTGCCCCCGCAGGTGGACGAGCTCTACGAGGGCTACTGCATCCAGTGCCGCCTGCGCGACGGCGCCTCCAACATGCAGCGGGCCTTCTCCAGGTGCCCGCCGAGCCGCGCCTCCCGAGAGAGCCTGCAGGAGCTGGGCCGCAGCCTGCAGGAGTGCACCGAGGTGGGTGGCAGTGGCGGGGCGGGGAGCGCGGAGAACGGCGGGCCCAGTCTCGGAGGTTTCCTGGGCCCTGAGGGAGCGTCTCTCTCCGCCCCGGGGCCTCTGTCTGGCAGGATCTGTGCGTCACCGGTGGCCTAGCCCCGGGACAAGCAGTGAGCCACATTGTGTGGGGCTTTGCAGGACATGTGGCTCATCGAGGGGGCCCTGGAGGTTCATCTGGGCGAGTTCCACATCAGGATGAAAGGTAACAGAACAGGGCTGGGAGTGGGTGGGCAGGTGCCAGTTTGGGTGTAGGGTCAGGCCTTCTCCGGGTCCCTGGAGCCTCTGCTGAGGGTGGGGGTCGGTCAGAATCACGGGGGTCCAGGCCCAGCCCTGGTTTCCACTCCTGTGACTTGTGACCTGTGACTTGCAAGTCCAGTTCCCCCTCTGGGTTGAAAGTGTGGACCCAGGCCTGTCCTTTGTCATCATGATGGCTCACCCCTCCCTGAAGCTGATACTCACACTGTGGTTGGGGCTCCCCGTGTGAGGTCCCGTGATCCCCAGGGCAGGGACAGAAGAGAGTGAAGAGATTAGCGAGTCTCTATGTTCCAGGCTTGGTGGGCTACGCACGCCTCTGTCCCGGAGACCAGTACGAGGTATGGCCACCCTCTGGGGCCAGTCCCCAGGACTCCCCACCAGGCCTTTGGGGGTTGGGAGCTGCTAGGAACCAGGGTCCCAGCTGGGTTTCTATCCCCACCTCCACCTGGCTGGCAGGAGGGCCCCTAGGCAGGCGGTATGGGGGGCAGCTGACTCCTCCCTTCTTGGGTCTGGCCCTCAGGTGCTCATGCGCCTGGGCCGCCAGCGCTGGAAGCTGAGGGGCCGGATCGAGTCTGACGACAGCCAGACCTGGGATGAGGAGGAGAAGGCCTTCATCCCTACCCTGCACGAGAACTTCGAAATCAAGGTGGGTGGGGTCATGGGCGGGGCCAGGGCGCCAGGGGCTCGGCTCAGACACCACCCACAACTCCGCAAACCACCCCCGCCTCCCAGGTGACAGAGCTTCGCGGCCTGAGCTCGCTGGCGGTGGGCGCAGTCACGTGTGATATCACCGACTTCTTCACCACCCGACCGCAGGTCATCGTGGTGGACATCACAGAGCTGGGCACCATCAAGCTGCAGCTGGAGGTGCTTTGGAAGTGAGTCGGGGTAGCCGCCTCCCCCCTGCCCCGGGCCTGCTGCCCCGCCCCCAGGTCAGCCCCAAACTCCCACCCAGAGAGAAGAGGAGAGGCCTCTCTGGCTCCCTCTGGTGGCCGGACTGCGCCCTAGCACCCTGCCCCGCAGACCGGCTGGGGCCCAGACCCTTCTCGGCAGTCCTGCCCCCACCTCACCGGCCGCCGCCCTCTGAGTTTTAATTCCCTTCTCACTTTTGAACAAGTGACTGTTAAAGACCTGGGCTGGCCAGGACACTTTAGAGCAGCCACCTGGACTTGGTTCCTGGGAGAAGCCTGCCTCTGCCCAGGAGGACTCACCTTACTGCTCCCACCACCTCATTTCCCGTTGACCCCGCTGATCGCCAGGCACAGGCTGAGCGGTCACCTTGAGTCCCCTCGTGGATGGTCACCACAGCCCCATGGATGGACGACTCTCATGAGAGCAACCCCTGCCCAGCGATCGCTGGTCATTTCCACAGGTTTTGTTCTTGGGTAGCAGAGCTTTTTTTCCCAAATGAAATCCTGTGTTTCGAGGGAATTCCTTTCTCCTTATTCCCCAGGGCAGGTGCTGCAGGAGCAAAGGGGCTGAGATGCATGTCCTCTGCTCTGGTGCTTCTTCTGACCAGTTGGGGCCAGTCTCTCCTTTCTCCCTGGGGTGGGGTCCGAGCTGGGGACACTGGAGCTGCTGTCCTCTTCCTGGTGAGCTGGGTGAATTCAAACAGGTGACACCCCAGCCTCAGTGTCCTCATTTGTCTAGCGAGGCCGAGCACCCCTCTCAAGTGTTCAGGGCAGGGGGCTGCCCAGTGCCCTGAAACCCTTGGCCAGCGCCAAGTACAAGGCCCTGGGCGTCCTGCTAGCCCGCAGCTGCCCTGGGCAGGCAGGGAAGGCTTCCAGGAGCTGCCGCTGAGCCTCAGGCCCCCGTGGCTGGGCTGGGCCCAGATGCTGCGAGCCAGGCCTGTGTGCAAACAAGCAAGCAGGTTTCCACGAGGCAGGGAGGGCTGACCAGACCTCCTTCTTCCAAGGGCAGGCTCGGTGAGGGCTGGGCTGGAGTGTCACCCCTGTTATTTCACTGTGGATCTGCAACCTTCCCTGTGACTGGTGCCCCTCGACTGATGAGGAATCTGAGGGGGGCAGTAACATGGTTTACCCAGAAAATGGCAGAGCTGAGTGTCCACCACTGGTCTCCTGAGCTTCTCAAAGGGCCTCTAAAGGGGGGTGTCATTCACATGTGTGGTGGCCTTTCGTTGCCCCTCGCCATCTGGCTACGGGCCCCCAGGGCGGTGGGCGTCTGAGAGACGTTTCCAAGAGGGTTGAGAATGTGAAGCTGGAGTCCCTCGGCTGTGCCTGCCCCTCCCTGAACCTCCACCTCTTAAGTCCCTGGGGCCTGTTTCCGGCCAGCGTCCTCCAGCCATCCATGACACCCTGGTCTCTGCTCTCCTCCAGCCCGTTTGACACTGAGAGCTTCCTGGTGTCGCCCAGCCCCGTGGGCAAATTCTCCATGGGCAGCAGGAAGGGCTCCTTGTACAACTGGACACCCCCGAGCACCCCCAGCTTCCGGGAGAGGTACTACGTGGTGAGTCAGCCTCACCCGGCAGGGATGCCGTGGTCACGCTGGGACTGGGGCCAGCACGTGGGGCTGGGCTCAGCAGCCTGGCACCTCTGGATGTAGCACGCTTTGGGCTCAGCCTCCCTTGTTTTGGAGTTACCCTGGGTGTTTTATCTGTATTTTTTCTTCCTTGCTGCCAGACCCTCCATTCTGGGGCCTCTGGACTTGGTTCTGGGCTTGGCTGGCTCTCTTGGATGCCTGGGATGGGGTTCTCTGGATGGTTCTGCCACTCTAGCCGTGGCCTTGGTCTCCAAACTGTTTTACACTTCAGTATGTTTCCAGTAGGTAACACCTTGACACCGTGTATTGTAAAGCACCTCTTTCCTGCGACCTCCTGGGTCCCCTCCTTAGCACAGGCTACTGTTGTCACCTTCCTCCACATTCCTCCAGAGATACTCTGTGCCATCTGGGGGCCGATGCATCTTTATCCCACAGCGGCGTTTAACACAGTCACATGCTGGAGTCTTCGCTGTTGTTCCCAAGAACACGCCTCGCTCTTTCTTTGCACCATGCAGACTTCCACATTTTGGCTAAAAAATTGCACTTTATTTAATAAGATATTGAGGTTGTTTCAGTTCCTTGCTGTTACCAATGACAGGGCAGGAATAACCTGATACACACATCATCTAAGTGTGGTCAAGTATCTTCCCAAAACAGATGCCCTAGTGAGGGTCCAGGAACAGAGACAAAAACCAGGACATTCTGTCAAGCCCAGAGGGTGATGCTGAGCTGGACCAACCTGCTACACGCTTATGGCGCTTAGTCAGGGAGGGTGGCTTTAAATGATCCCGGCAGCCTGTGCGTTTGGAGGAAACTTCCTTGTCTGGCCATGGTGGTCCCAGTGTACCTTGGTTAAAAAAATCATCTGTGGTCAAGAGCATGGAGACTGGAGCCAGATGGCCCAGGGTTCAAATTCTTTGCCTTTCATCTGCTGTGTGACTTTGGGCAAGTCACTCAACCTCTTTGGACTTCAATTTCTGTATCAGAGAAATGAGAATAACAGCACCACGCTGATGGGGTTTTGTGAGGGTTAAATGAGTAAATGAGAAGTGCTTTCAGGAATGCCTGGCAAAAGCAGACGGTGCTGTAGGAACATTAACCTTTATTATTGGTCTGGTTGGTCAGGGTGCAGCAGAGGGGGTTAGGGTTCATGTCAGCACCCCTGGATTAAGATTCTTGCACTTCAGTCCTCATTCCTGCAGCCTGAGTTTCAGCCGGTGCCCAGCCCCTCTGAAGTTATAACAATGCCACCCTCAGGGAGTTGTGGAGAGGCTCTTAGAACTGGCTGGAGCTGGAAAGAAGTGAGATGGAGGGTGATGAGGGAAATGGCCGAGAGGTTCCAGGCTCTTAGCAGCACTTCCGGGCTGCCAGTCATCTCAGTGGCCGTCAGTCATCCTGAGAACGTGGGTGTGCAGAGCAGGCGTCTGTGAGGGGAGGGCTGTCTGGGGGCCTTGCTGTGGTCCCCGGGGTGGCTGCTGAGGCTGGTCCTGTGTCCCTCTCTCCAGTCTGTCCTGCAGCAGCCAGCACAGCAGGCCTTGCTGCTGGACCAGCCGAGGGCCACCTCTATCCTCAGCTGCCTGTCTGACGGTGACATTCGGGGCCCCAGCCTGCGGAGCCAGAGTCAGGAGCTGCCTGAGATGGACTCCTTCAGCTCCGAGGACCCCCGAGACACTGAGACCAGCACGTCAGTGTCTACCTCGGATGTAGGGTTCCTGCCCTTGGCCATCGGCCCCAACATCTCTATTGAAGAGGAGGCCCAGGAGGACCCCCCACCCCTGGGCCTCCTGCCAGAGATGTTCCACCTGGCAGAGGGTGCATTTGTGGAGCAGCCTGGCTGGAGAAATTTTGGAGTGGAAAGCCTGGACCTGCCACAGGGCTCCCCGTTCCACGACCACAGGATCCCGGGGAGCCAGGAGGGCCACGATGAAGGAGAAACTGAGGATGTAGATGGGCCCCGGGTGCCCCTTGAGAGGCCCCTGCAGGAGGTCCTGGATTTACTGCGGTCCAGAGACCCTGCCCCGCCCCAGCTCCGGGAGCTGGAGTACCAGGTCCTCGGCTTCAGGGACCGGCTGAAGGTATGTCCACTCTTCGCTGGGCAGAAGCCCTGCTTCGCTGATGGTGCAACGACATGGAGTGGGTTCCTGGGGCGGCCAGCCTGGGCCAGCACCCTGGCCTCACCCCGTGTGACCCGGGTGGGCGATGTCTCCTCTCTGGGCCTCAGTCTGCTCATCTGTCAAGTGGCCCTTATTGGGCTGGGAGCAGGGTAATAAGAGGAAGTCGGGGCTCAGAGTGGATAACTTACTCCAAGTCCGGCCAGAACCCAGCCCCATCTTGCATCTTCTGACCCTGGCAGGTGGGGCTGTGGCTTGGCATTAAAATCCCAAATTTGGGGTGTTCTCAGGGACAGAGCTGGTACAGAGGAAGGCCCTCACAGCCACACACCCCACACTGAAACTTCTCAACAAGGCCCACGCCAGGGGCTGTTCTTGGGTGGTTCTCAGAAGCAGATGATCATATATGTATATACATATTTGGCTTACATAACATTAGATGTACATAAAATAAAATGTGTAAAACCAGCACCTACTGATACATTAATTAATTTATGGAACCACTGTCTTTTGTGCAGGACAAACACTGGCACTGAAATAGTTAAACAGCTTTCTCCAAAACTTAGTTTTGGTTGTTTTATCCCTAAGCCCCTCAAGGTTACAATCCAGCACAGGTGGAACAAAGCTTAATTTTTTGTATCTAGTAACCATGGGTTCACCGTTTGTCGCTGCTACTGTGCTTTTAAAGGACGTGCCAGAAAATGTCAAGAAAAAAATTTAAGAAATAACATCACCTTTTTTGAATTTCTTCACAGCTTTTTTATGTAGAACCGTTTGAGTCAGCATGCACACAGCAGTCTGTCACATACCTGTATTTTGAAAAATTATACAAACTTTACCTAAACATCTTAAAAATAAGACCACAAGACAGTAATTTTAAACATCTTTGAGGAACTTTTCTTTTTGGGGTCAAGCAAGTCAGAACAAAAAAATGATTATAGGCTGTGGTTTTTAATTTGAGTTTTTTCAAGAGAAATTGTACAAACATGTATATGTGTATAAATACACATATTTATATGTGTGTGTATCTGTGAGGATTTAATGAGGATTTAATTTTGTGTGTGTATAAATATGCATGTTTAAATACACACACACGCGCGCGCGCGCGCGCGCGGAGCTGGTTCTCACACTCATGGGTTCTGTTTTTGTGAATTCACCCACCGGCTGAAACTTGCTCGTGACATTTCCCAGGTCGTTCTGGGGTGCGTGCAGAGGGGCAAAAATCTGAGTCACCTGATGTTCAGGGTCTCGGCTGAGGCTGAAGCAGGCGCCGCTCTTCTTTCTTGTCTTGGCTCACCCTGTACCAAGTGTCCTTTCACGTCCACCTGGTGCTGTGTTGTCCACATTCCTGCGCTGATTTCTGCCGATTTCATGGTTTGAAACAGCCCCCGGGTGCCGAGCTGAGGCGCTGGCTAGCATTCCTAAAGTGCTTTATGGAGAAAATCTGTGTGTGAGCAAAGCTCTGTTCAGGCGTGAGTTAAAATGTTGTTGACCTTGAGTTCAGTGTTAACGACGCAAAGATACAGTCTGTATTAAATAAGATGTCTTTAAACAGACACACGTAAGACAAGGTTTCATCTTGATCGGTTGATGAAAATGTGACCCGAAGCTCACGGTCTCTGCACTTCTCCGGGGAACAAGGGCTCAGTGTGCAAAGTCAGTGGTCACGGCAGCTGTATACACCATAACTACCGGCAGTAACAAGAACTGATTGTGTGTGTGTGTGTGGGTGCGTGTGTGTGCACGTGCACATGGGCACACACATATCTGCAGATACACATTTTTTTTCTATCAGGCAAGGAAATCTCTGCAACTAGCCTTATTCTTCTCTTGTTGCTCAAGGTTTTCTTTTTGGGCTCAACTTTGGTCAGCCCAGTTTTGGCTTGCAGGGCGGCATCTGCTCAGGCTGGGTCTTGGGTGCACTTTGTGTGGGACAAGGCCCTGGGGAGCCAGGCGTGGGGATGGGAATCAGCCCCGGAGTCCCCGATTCATCGGGGACCCGCCACCAGGAGGCTGTGATGACCTGACTGGTGGAGAAGCGGTGGCTCCTGCCCTCTCTCCTGCCCCCGCGCCCGTTGGCAAAACCCCCTCCTTCCACGTCTCCCCGGGAGAAGAGACACCTGGAATCCAGAGGCTCAGCTGGAGCCTGTGAGCCTCCTGAAGAGCTGTTTGGCCTGACCCACACCATTTTTTGTTTTTGTTTTTTTTAAGTTTCTTTTTGTGGGGGAAGTCATTAGCTTTGTTTATTTAATTATTTTTTTTTAACGGAGGTACTGGGGATTGCTAAGCACACACTCTGCCGCTTGAGTTATACCCTCCCCCACCCATGCCGTATTTTAAAAATAATTTGGAATTAGTTGTCAATATTTAGAAACTGGGCAGCTCCCCATAAAAATCTAGGTTTCCAGCTTTTCTTAGAAAACTGAGCGATCTGACAGCCATGGCCCCACACTCCAGGTGGCAGGTGTCGGTGGCGGCAGAGCAGATCTCTTGGGGGAGGGCCCTGCTCTCCTGCTCACTCCTGTCACTTGTCCTGTCCCTGGGGGTGTTTGTGACTGGTGAGGTTTTTCAGATCTGTCTCCCTCCAGCTGTTCTGCCAGACCTGTCACAAGCCACTAGGGAGGGACCTTGGAGACGCGCCCCCCCTGCCCATCTTTGACTTGGGGGACTGAAGCCCTGCTGAGGGACAGTGACGCTGTGAAGGTCGGTGTGCTGGGCAGGTGAGCGGGCTGCCCTGAGGTCTGGCCATCTGTCTGTCCACAGCCCCGTGGAGCCCGCCAGGAGCATGCCTCCACCGACAGCCTGATGGAGTGCATCCTGGAGAGTTTCTCCTTCCTCAACGCCCACATCACCCCGCACGAGCTGGCCCTGTTTGGGGGCTCCCAGGACCCCCGGTGAGTGTAGCCCTCCCCGTGCTGCCCCAGTGACCAGCCTCAGAGCCACACTGTTTGCCAGCCTCCCGGCCTGTGTCTCCCATGGCCCAGGCCCTGATGTGCATGTCCCAGCCCCGCCTGGCCCAGAGCAGCTCCTCAGTGACCACTGAGCAAATGAAGATGCCTCAGCCTGGCCCTGAGCCTTCTGCTCTGACCGAGGGGCTTCTTTTTAATCTTAAAAGATAACAACACTGCATGCAGTGCAGCCTCTGCCCTCTACAGAACAGTCGCGCAGTAGTGACCCCGCTCCCCGTTCCCATTGCACAACCGTCCATCTTCATCTGGGACAACTTCCTTCTCGGTGAAGCAGCCCCCACCTGTCCACTTGAGCCCCTCAAGTGCTTCCCCTGCACCCAGATCTCCGCAGCACAGAAGCGCATAAACAGGCTACACTTCTCTCCTCTCACGATGCCCTGGGGAGGGTGTGCATTTCCACCCAGCATTATGGTGTTACTGCCACCCTCCCAGGGCTCAGGTTCAGCCCCTGCCACAGAGCGGACATGGTGCTGGGTACACTTGTGTCTTGCTCACCTACCGTGGCCCTGAGCTTGGGATTCCTGTCCCCACTTTACAGATGAGTGAACTGAGGCCAGGGGAGGCAGGCTTGTCCAGAGTCATAGAGCTAGGAATTAGTTTGCACCTTAGGCTTCTGCTGCACATCGCACACCCTGGAAGGCTGAGGGGCCCACACCATCCCAGCACCCGTTTTGAGTTGTTACCACCTTTTGCTGCTTCTCCTTTTCTCTTAGTTTTATCCTCAGTTTAACTCCATCTCCCTGGGACCTGGAATTGGCCTCCCTGATCAGAGCTCTCCAGGGAGGGAGGGCTTCCTCTCCCCTTGGAGGCAGTGGAGCTGCTAACTGAATGGTCACTCAGTTCTCAATTCAACTCAGATCGGACAGGACCCCACCTCTACCGCCATCGCTGAAAGCGTCATCCAAGGAGCTCACGGCTGGGGCTCCGGAGCTGGACATGCTGCTCGCGGTTCACCTCCAAATCTGCAAAGCGCTGCTGCAGGTGGGTGAGGAACTGAGGAGGGCCTGAGGGCAGGGGGTGAGGTGGGGTGGAAGGTTCAAGTCGGGGTGAATAGTCATGTGGTCCTTATGCAGCCCAAGATCTAAGCTGAAGGTGGTGATTGCAACTCTTTCGCAGATGCCAGAACTCTAATCAACACTGGCTCAACCAAAAGAAGATTTTTTTGGCTCATAGAATTGGAAAGCCCAGAGATGGGCTTCAGGCCCAGCTGGATCCAGGGTTTCAAATGCCGTCATGACTGGGTTTCTCCTTCTCTCAGCACCGCTTTCCTGTGTTGGTTGGCTTCACTTCCTGGCAGGCTGGCTCCTAGCGGCAAAGGTGGCTCCTGGCAACTCCAGCCTGCATCCTATTATCTCAGCCACCTTGGTGAAGGAGGAATGGACACCCCAGATGACAGGGAGCTACCACTGGGATAGAAAGGATGGGCACAGGGCAGATGGAAGCCACAGTCACAGTGGCTGACCTCAGAGGGCATGTCGTGTGCTAACCTGGAGCATCATGGGCTGCTTCCTAGAAACTGGACTTTCCTAATTTGTCGAGGATGGTCCAGGACTGCCTTCTGGAAGAAGCCGCACAGCAGAAGCAAGTTCTGGAGATGCTTTCTGTGCTTGATTTTGAGAAGGTCAGCAAGGCAACATCTGTTGAAGAGAGTAAGTGTCTGCCCTTCATCCACGGGCTGCTTGTGTGAATGGTGTGAAGTGATGAGGATGAAAGCATGGGGGCGGGGCTCGTCTCCCTTCCTGACACTCGAGGTTAAATGGAGCCCAGGAGGCTCAAGTTGAGGCAGTGGCTGGGCTGGGATCAGACACACACTGCTGGGAGGGAAGGGAGGCCAGGTAGTCTCAGTCAGCTGTGTGACTCTGGGCAAACGAGACACCTCTTGAGCCTCAGCTTCGCCGTCTGTATAATGGGGAGGCCACTGGGTAGGTGTCATGAAGGAATCCCCCAGTCAAGGCATACGGCGTGCACTCAACAGTAGCTGTGACCCCAGTTCTGCCTCTGCCCCCATAGGACTTCCCCTTGTCCACAAGGAGAGGCTGGTGACCACAGCCCCAGGGGTGTTGTGGGAGCTGCAGGTGGTGGCCCAGATGAGGTGCTTGCAGCGAAGCTGCTTGTCCTCTGAGTGTCACATCTCAGCGTGGGAAGGGGACTCTGCAGAAGGTCAGGCAGTCCCTCACCTCCCTGACCTCTCCGGTCCCAGTGGAAGGGCACCCTGGGCCTCCTCGTTGCCTGCTCCTCCCCACCGCCAGTCAGGTTCTGAGCCCGGGCTTTCAGTCGTCCCGCAGGCTTCCCGGAGGAAGGGGTGCCTGAAGGTGTGGAGAGGGTGCACAGAGCCCGGCGGGGTCCTGTCCTGCCCCGGCACAGCGCTGCTGAACCAGCTCAAGAAGACGTTCCTGCACAGAGTCGGAGGGAAACACCCAGGGCAACTGGAACTAGGTAACCCCGCCCCGCCTCCCCCGCCGGGTGGAGTCTCCGGGCCCTTCAGTGTCGTCACAGCAGGCCCCATCTTAGCCCCATCTTCATCGCTGCACAAGTCTTCGTGGCATCAAATGGAGGAGTTTCTCAGCTTAACTGCAAGGCATCTCCTTTTCCGGGGGAGGAGGGTGGGGTCTGTGATACCTGAAGCTGGAGACAAGAGTGTGCTGGTGTGTTTTTCTGGGGACAGATTCCATAGCTTCCACCAGAATCTTGAAGGGGTTGAGAAGGAACCTTTGTGGCAGGACTTTATCTGCCCCATAAAGGCGGGTGTCTCGAATGTTGGCGGGACCCCTCCCCAGAATGCAGAGCTGTCTCATTTTTCTCTGTTGACAACTGAACGGTGACAGTCATACTCCAGGCAGTGGCTCTGAAACTTCAGCAATTCTAACCACCTGCCTATCCCAGGCCCCGGCTCTGGGATTCACATTCAGGGGCAGGTGGGGCTCAAGGCTGGCGGAAGCCCTGCAAGACCCCCAACTCAGGCCTGTGGCCTCAGCGGGAGCAGGCTTCTCGCGGGCACGGGGGCACACAGAGAGACACCCGCCCACGCGCCATCAGAGAGCCTGTGCGCTGACCTGGCCGTGTTCGGCTGAGAGGCGCCGAGGGGGTGAGGTCTCGGTTTCCCCTCACGCCTTCGCCCATGTGTCCCCAGCCTGCCGCAGGCTCCTGGAGCAGGTGGTCAGCTGCAGCGGGCTGCTGCCCCGAGCCGGGCTCCCCGAGGAACAGACCGTCACCTGGTTCCAGTTTCACAGCTACCTGCAGAGGCAGAGTGTCTCCGACCTGGAGAAGCACTTTGCCCAGCTCAGCAAGGAAGGTAGGCAGGGGCAGGGGGGCAGGTGGCCTCAGAGCAACACAGGAACAACAAAGGAACAGCCATCACGGAGCCCTCTGTCCCAGCTCTGGGAGGCTGGTTTTCCAGAATCACTGCCTCTTTCTTTCCCCTCCAGCTGCTCTTCCGAGAACAGATTTAATTAGATTCCACACTCAGCCCATGTAGAAATGAGCTCCAAGGGCACAAACCTCAGAGCAGAGACCAGAACTAGATGCGAGGGTGACGCTGGGCTGGCTGGAGTCCCTGAAGTGTGGGCTGGGGGTTTATTAACTTTCAGGGTGTATCTGAGTCGCTGCTAGAAAGCCTTCCTAGAGATTCCAGGAGGCTCCTTTGAAACCCATCCAGACTGGGCCTCAGTGATCACATGGGCTTGTCCTGGGATTTGCTTCTGCACGGCTCATGGACGACCTGCAGCCCGGCCGCAGTCAGAGGGGCCCTGGGCATCCTTCTTCTGTCTCTTCCAGTAACACTCGTTGAGGAGCTGCAGTGCGTGGGCCGTGCCAAGACAGTCAGGAAGCTACAGGGGAAGCGGCTGGGCCAGCTTCAGCCCCTGCCTCAGACACTGAGGGCCTGGGCGCTGCTCCAGCTGGACGGGACCCCACGGGTGTGCAGGGTGGCCAGCGCTCGCCTGGCCAGCGCAGCCAGGAACAAGAGCTTTCGGGAAAAGGTACGGTGTGGGAGGCGGCAGCCCCCTGGCTGCAGGTGTGTGGGTTGTGGGGAGCTGGAGGGAGGGGGGCTTTCTCTTGGAAAAACACAGAGAGAGGGACTGGAGGGCTGCATTCGCTGCCAGGTATTGATTTAGAGATGGTCCGAACAGGAATACAGCCTTCCTCATGCCCTCACCACTGGCAGCACCAGCCCCGGGGAGGGAGCTGGGGTGGCCGGGCATCACCTGAGGAACCCACAAGACCACATGCCACAAGCTTACCACCTCGTTAATCTCAGTGTTCCTAAAGCACCTCATCTATGCAGTCTCTGAGATGTCACTTGCATGTAGAATGTCTCTTTCTTAGAATTCTGACAGTCATCCTCATTTACTTTCAATTAATATGTATGGCTAGATGGTTCATTGTGTTCAGTCCATTTGAAAACCAAGATTGGACTGCTCTGCCTTTTAGGTTCCTGGACTATTCCAGGTTTAGGGTACCAGCCCCTGAGGCAGGAGAAGGGCAACAGCGGGGCCTTACTGTGGTCTTGGGCTCACCCAAGTGCCAGGCACATCCTCGCCCGCCCCCCTCTCATGTTTCCTGTAAGTCCTTACAACAATTTTGCAAAGCAAGTGCCAGCTGCATTTTCCAGCTGAAGTGACGTGGCCATCCACGGTCATGTGGCCAGTGGGGCAGGGTCAGAGCTGTGACTGGAAACGACTGACGAAGGGAAAAGATGCTTTTCCTCTGGCTGAGGCAGCAGCCTTGCCGTGGCCCTCTGTGTGTTCCGTTCTTCTGCTGTTCCTGCTGGACAGCGGGTTGCTCTGATTTAGCATTTTATGTAGACAACAGTTTTGGAATGCCTTTTGTAAACGTTATTAGATGAAGAGTTTTCTTAATTGATTACCCTCAGCCCAGGGACCAGCGTTTCTAGATAAACTGAATACCGCAGCCTACAGTCAACACTGCACACGTGCTGTCAGCATTTGGAGGGTGGGCGGTGGGCACCCGGGACTTCGCTCTCACTGGCCCCTCATTCACAGCAACTGTATTTCCTAGGCTTTGCTCTTCTACACCAACGCCCTGACTGAGAACGACACAAAACTCCAGCAAGCCGCATGCGTGGCACTAAAACATCTCAGGGTGAGTTTAGCCAGTCCTCGCTGCTGTGGGGAGAAGCCCGCTTGTGGTTAATGCTGAAGTTAGTTCATTTCAAAATGACCTTACTGGGACCAAAAAAAGATCCTCACCAGTACAAAAAAAAAAGCACCGTAAAGAGCTTGTGGTAGAGGAGTGGCCGTCAGCTCCACCAGCAGAGCTCCCTCAATGATAGTGAACATTCGCTCTGGCTCCGTGTGAATAAGCAGGTGGCCCCAGGGATTCACTTCTGAGCTCTTGGACTATATGGCTTAATACCCTCAATTTAAAAATGTCTAAAAGCACAATAAACTTGTTGTAGGGAAAAAAAGTGTAAAATACAGAAATGCAAAAGTTACCCATTACCCTAATACTTGAGCATCTTTGTGCATAAGGCTTTCAAAATTTACATAAAATTTACAAGTTTTGAATGACTTCCTTAGGGTAGATTAAGCGTTACCCCAGGGCCAGAGATGATAAATGTTTTTGAGACCCATTCACACCCCTGAAAGCAGATGTGAGGGGTGCCCATTTTACCTCAACCTCACCTGCATCTGAAACTCTCATTTAAAAAAATCTTTGCCTAGTTGCTAGGTGAAAAATGGTCCAGCAGACTATCACTTACCCATTCATCCTGGAACCAACTGACAGGAAATCTACAAGGACCATCTGGTTATAACTGAATAACCAGGGAGAGGGTGAGGGTGCCCACTAGAGGGAGCTGAAGTGCACTCTGGTCCTGGACCCCGGAAGAGGGCAGCTGCCATCAGCTGTGCCTGACCCAGGGCCAGGGTTACTCCTCTCCTGGTCTAACCTGGAGGGCCAGGTTGGGAGAAGCAAAGGAGGTAGGACGGTCCAGAGGAAAGAATGCCTTCTCATTTTCAAGATGGGCCTTTCAGAAAGTGTCCATAAAGTTCAGCTAATGATCTAACTTGCTAGAGGGTGTCAGGATTGAAGAGATGAGATGCCTCCAATGGTACTTTGATGAACCTGAGGCCACATGAGGAACCCAGAAGCCTTCAGAGAAAGGGCTGAGGCCCCACAGAACACGCTGGTCCTGCGGGGTTTATAAAAGTGGATACCTGTTACTTAAAATGTCCTCTAATGAACCCTTTTCCTCCTAAACTCAACAGGGCATCGAAAGCATTGATCAGATTGCCAGCCTATGCCAGTCTGACCTGGAGGCCGTGCGCGCGGCAGCCAGGGAAACCACGCTGTCGTTTGGTAAAGTTCAACATCAAACATCGTGCAGTGCAGTGGGGTTCCCGGGTCCCCTAGAAAGGCTGTGCTAGAGAGGCCACGGCCAGCGCTGGAAAACAAGGCACAGTAGCACACGAGATGGGCACTGTCAGTGACCTGTTTGCACTTGGCCAAAGCAGGTTTCCTTTATAGTTGAAGTGATAAGGAGTGCTTTATTAAGCTCTAAAGCTTCAGTTTACGATCCTTGGGAATGAAAGCCAGATGCGAGGCAGGAATAAATTTCAGCAGACTCTGTCTTAGATGTAGAGGGGCAAGGCACCGGGTCCGTAAGAGTTGGCCCCCAATACGCCCCGCCCCTGCCCTTTACAGGGGCACTGGAGACCTAGGTGTCTGTAAGTACTAGGCCACCTTGGCTCAGCAGAGTAGAAAACAGGGAGGGGGACAATCCAGTGACAGATGACCTTAATCTTTCAGGTGAAAAAGGACGTTTAGCTTTTGAGAAGATGGACAAACTTTACTCAGAACAAAGACAAGAAGCCTTTGGCCAGGAGGCAGATGTTGAAATCACAGTATTTTAAAAAGCCTTAGCCGATGAGCTCAAATCTGGCATCTGTTTTTGCTGCTGCCCAGCCGTGACATGGGGACTGAGCTTTGGGTGGGGGTACGCTGTGCGCTCCCCAAGAAGCATGAGCTGGCCAAGCTGCTCTGAGTCTCCGGGCCAGTTACAAAGCCAGGGCACAAGTGGGACTTTTGTACAGGGGCACATGAGCTGACGCACAGCACTCTGAAGACTGCACTTCAGCCGGCTTTTGGCTTCGGGAATCTGTCTTGATCTTCCCCAGGAGGCAGAGCTGGGTCAGTGCCAGCCACAAGGAGGCCACCATTTCCGGTTCAATAAAGACTGGGACTGACGGGCGGCTCACCATGCTAAGGAGAGAGGAGGTCAAGTCATTTCAATGGCAGCAAGCTGTCACCAAGGCGAGCTGGCAGGGGCGGGAGGCAGAGCCAAGGTTTCTACGATTCACTCCCTTAACCCGAGCTGCAGCCCACGTGCCACAGTGGAGACTGGTGGCGGCCTGCTGACCACCGACCTTTTACTGTGGTTCAAGAGCACAAAGGAAAGGAGGACATGCCATCAGCCAAGTAACCTGGAGTGTCACGTCAGTGAAAGCATTTGCTTTGACCTCACGAAGCAAAATGGAATCCAGTTTTCAAAGGAAGTCAATTTAGGGCTTATTGAGTAAATTGCTTCAGGAACCATAGCTGGTTTGAAGAAAGATTTCACTGAAGATCATGTTGAAGGAAAGAAAGTTAGTTTCCTGTTTAAGTCTATTAAAACAAAAACTCCAGTGTGTCCTGAGCTTTCTGTGTTAATAATGTAGAGACAAGCCGGGTCTGACGGTGGCCGTCGGCAATGGCACCGAGCAGCTGTAACTTAAACGTGCTCATTTAATTTCCTGTGTATACTCTGTGCTTGTTGGTTTAACTTGGTATTTATTTGCCTTGTCTATATGTTGTTTTCTGAAATTTCAATTAAAATAACTTTTTATTGGTATTTCACTCTACTTGAAAAAAAGTGGAAGGTAGTGGCTGTTTCCCCACATACCCTGAGGGGAGCAGCCGCCCCTCCAGCCTCTCACCAATCACTCCCCCGGGCAACACTGTGAAGTGGGTTCTCACCCAGCAGCAGCGGTAAAGGGGGCGACCTCGGGGCAGTGCCCCCCCTTGGACTCTGCACGTGCGCTCTGAAGGCCCCGCAGGCCTCTCCTACAGACAGCAAGCAGCCTGGCTCTTCTCTGCCCTCGGGCCACATCAGATTTCTGCTCCGAAGTTACAAATTTAGTTATTTTTTCCCACACTGGCATTCCACCTCATCATGAAAGCTGAGATGCCTTTTTTTTTGGTATCTGAAAGAGATTGAAGTGGCTGTGGGTGTGACACCACCATCTGGGCCCCAGTGTCCTCACTGGGCGTTGTGTGGTCACATGACCACAGACAGTCTCTATTTCCCAGTTCCCTGCATCCTGCTGGGAGGCCACAACGTAAGCAGTCTATCCAGCAGCCAGTTTGAGACAGTCAGAGAACCTTGACAGATAGAAGGGAATTCTCTGTTCTGTTTTTTCAACATTTTGCAAGTCTGAAATTATTTCAGAAAGAAAAGTCAAAAAATCACTTTAGGGGAGATTTACGTTTCATTTTGTACAAGAAAGGAAGACCACGAATTTTTTCTATTTCATTGTTATTTCTCCGTCAATTCCACATCAAACGTGACTCAGCCGAGGTGCTGAGATGTGGCCACCGCTGTGTTTTACGGGCAGCTGGCTAAGGCACACGTTCTTAAGGTTTGAGCAGTTCTTCAAACAACTTGTATACGTTTATTAAGTTATCCAAGAGCCCTAATACATTCAAAAGGTGAGTTTTGTTGTTGAAGGAAAGGAAACGCATTGAGGCCTGAAGTGTGGAGTAAACGCACCAGGCAGGGAAAGTTCCCCCAGCCCAGAGGCACCCATGACCACAGGAGGCCATCGAGGCCATTGTAATCCCCAGATGTGGAAAAACTATAAACCCTCCTGACAACATCTGTTTCACATCCGCCTGGATGGAAAGAAACAAGAGTTGCACCCCAAATCCGTGTTCTTTAGGAAAAAAAACTTTTATTGTTGCAACTAAAATGCAAACCCATCATTTATATGGCAAGTTGGAAAACTGTACAGTTTGACAGTTCTGTGAGGTCACAGAAGACCCTGAGATGCGCCCCCCCACCCCATCATGCATCCACGGACACACACACCTGGAAAGGTATTATACCAAAACACCTCACTTTTTTTTGTTTGTTTTATTTTTGTAAAAATGGTTTATTCTATGGCCATCGTAAAAAATAATGACCTGACAAGTAAATATTGGTTTAAGGCATATAGCAGAGCAGCTCGCTACTTCTCTAACATACGTGTAACAAGATGGAGAGCCATCTGTCTTCCAAGGATAGGAGGTTAAACCAGTACATCCATTTGGAAATGCTACTATATATACACACCCAAACTACTACATACACATACAGGACTTACAAAACAGACGAACAAGCCCAACTCAAAACTGCTTACAGCCTGGCACCTCAGCCTTCACACCTCACCAAGGTTCTGCGGGGCGATGCCTCAAATGTTCCCACCACAGACTTTCTCTGCACGAGCTTCTAACACGTGAAAGGCAAAATGTGAAAATGCTGGCAAAAGAGCAGCTCGTGAGCTACAGCTGCCTTTTTTTCTTGTTAAAAAAGCCACTTAACGTGGAGGTTTTAAGTTCCCCTCGCAGGAAGAGTCGTGAGCACCATCAGTCCCCAGGGTTCAAGGGCGGGGCAGACGCCTCTGTCAGCAAGGCCCCCGGACCTGAAGGGCAGCAGGCTGACTCGAAGGGACCGTCGTCCAGGTTGTCTCGAGAAGCGTGGTTTCCAACAGTTGCCTTGGTTCCAAATCACGGTCTGCTCAAGAAGAGTGTGAACCCGGGATAGCGGAGGCTGAGCTCAAAGGGGGGGAACGGGGACGGCCCTGCTTGTCTAAACGTCCAGAACGCGACTATGGCTTCCCATACCCTTGGAATGTCTGAGTTACAGTGGGGCCCAGCTGGACCAGGACAGGCGAGGCCTCACTAGGAAGTCACCAGAGTGTCATGCCAGGAATTAGGCAAATATCTCCTCCTGGAAAACATCACTCCATTGCTGAATGGCGATTATTTCAGCAACGGTCTTAGGAACCACAGCCACGTAATGATCAGATCATGCAAAGGTAACTGGACTTGGACACGGGGCACATTAGTAAGCAGAGATCTAAGTATTTCAAGCACATGGTATTTGGTCGGGACACAAAAAGACCATACATGCATCCTAAAACACACAGGGAGAGCGGTGACTGAGACCAAGGTTCTAGCAGATAACCGGGGGGGAGTAACCGGGACAAAGTAATCTCACGCCATGTGTCTTAAATATCCAAGTGTTCATTATATATTAGCCCATTGTTCTATAAACATATGCAAACCTCTTCCCATGTTACCCCCAATGTCATGATAGCGACTGCTTAAAACCGTCCTCCTTCCTAGTACTGGTCTGACGCGGCGGCTCGCAGGCAGAATCCTACGTTCTCAGCGCTACCTGAGGGTTTATTATTGTACTTCTTGATAAAGCCCTTAATGCAAGGCTGACATCAAAAAACTTTAATACATATTGGTTTAAGAAACTGCTAGTGCACTATGGACACCTTTGGGGGAAAAAACTTAAAAAATAAATATGGAGTGGAGAGGCTGACTGCACGCATCTCCGTGCAGGGCTGAGGGGGGCGTTGGCTGCCAGCCGCGGGGGACGAGCCCAGGGGCCATCGCTGGAGGCTCGCCCCTCTGCTGGCTCAGGCTGCCTTCCTCGGAGCCCCCAGCATGGCGCTCTCCTGTGTCCTCCTCAAAAAATGGGACGTGGACCCGGTACTCGAAGGAAGGGGAGGGCAGAAAAGTAAAAGGACGGAGGTAAGACCCACAGCCCGGGGAGGGGAGCCTTAGTGCAGAACAAACGTCCGTTGGGGCACGGCTGGCTACGCTGTCCGGCGGCCCTGACCTACCTCGGCTGCCTGCTAGCTGGGTGCGGGCTCTGCGGGCAGAGGCGGACAGTGGGTGGAGGTGGGTCAGATTATGTGTTGCTGTTGAACAGGAACTGGAATGAAACCAAACATTTTCAGATGAGCCTGGACCCACCCTGCAGAGCTGCAGACTCATGCCCAACCCCGGCCGCCCGGCCCCCGGCCGCTGTAGCCTCCCAGGAAGGGGGGGTTGATTTTTTTCCCCTCCCGCAATAGCTCCCCCTTCCCAAAAATCACCCCTAAGGAAAAAATTGTCTGCATGTTGCTAAACCACCTGATGCACTCAAAGATGGTTGCTTAGAAAGAGGTTTAAAAAAAAACCAAAACAACCCTGGGAGGCGACTTCCATGATGAGTTTTGAGGCGAATCCTCCCTCTTCTCCTTAACTTTAACAGTGACACGTTCTAATGTGTGGGTTTCTACTGAAATGGTAATTATCCTCCAAGCGAAGTGGAAACTGCTCCTTCTGGATCTCAATGGCAGGATGAAAAGCCAGGGGCCACCCTTCGGTGACCTCTGACCCTGAGGCAGGGGCCCTGAGGAACCCTGTTTCTGGGGATGGAGTGATGAGGGCGGGCCACGTGCAAGGTGGCTGTAACAAGAAGGGATGGATGGAGAGATGAACAATGGGAAACCAGCGGGACACCCTGAGCAAAAGCAGAAGCCGGGTTTTATTTTCTAGAGGCGGCCTTTTGTTGTTTTTCTTTTTAAAAAGGGAAAGCTCGCAGGCACTGTCCCAGCTCAGCGTGCGCACAGCTGAGGAAGTGCCTGAGCATGACAGTGTCCTAAACCTTTAAACCGTCTTCTCCAAAGGAGTTTACATTCATAGAATTGGGGAGCCTTTCCCTGGGAAATCAAATAAAAATTGTGTATCTGGTTACACCACCTAAGGGTACAACAAAGTTTCGTAAGTGCCTAGTCTTTTTTTTTTCCAGAAATAACAAAAAGCTGCTTTTTATAAAGGTTAAAAACAACAATGTGTTGTAATTCTATTATTTCCTTTTAAAACAAATGAACAAAAAAAGAAAAAAAAAAAGAAGAGAGAGAGAGACGTATTTGGCATTTTCTCTACTTACTCCTGAATAGGTTAAGGCCCTGAGATTAGACTCTTATATTCTTGGGACCACAGGGCTCCTTAAAACCCCAGTGCATCAAATCCTCAATTCTCTCGTTAGCCCTTCACAGTTCCAGACTTTAAAAACCTTCGCTCGTTTCTTCTGAGACTGGCTCAGAGCCTTCCGCGGCACTGGATGTTAACGCCAGGCTGGTGGCCAGTGCTTTCTGTACACGTGGTCTCACCAGCACGTCCGTCAGTGAAAACATACCCTGTAGCAGAGGTACGCGCCGGCCGTGAGGACCGTGGCCATGCACATGTTGACCAGGAAGGGCTTCCAGTGAGTCAGCGCCCGGTCCTGCTCCTCCTTGAGCGGTGGTGGCTCCCTCTGGGCAGGATCTGCCCCCATGACCCGCCTTCTGACGACTTCAGTGTCTTGACTCATGCTGAGGAACAAGGGGGGCAGAGCTGGGTTACTTACTCTGGAGAAAATGGCCAGGAGGCGCTCATTACGGGAGGGATTCTAGGAAACAATGAGCTGCATATAAACAGCCTGGCGATGCTGATGCCGGAAGCCCACCTGTCACCACCTCCTTCCCGGGGCCCTACGGTAGGGCCACAGAAGGGTTCTGAAGATGCGAGGACTCCTTGGTAATTCGGGATGGATAAGGGTCTGAGGAGAAATACAGCCACTGGTGCAAAGACAGATGCCAACTTTGCCCTGGGGCTGCTGGTAGAATGTTCTGCTTCAGATCAGGTCAGGGCAGGCAATGGGGTGGCCCACAGTCTTCCACTCCCTCCCTGGGGACCCAGCAGACACTGATACCCAGAGGTCTTTGTGGCTGCTGACGTGCGGACATCAGGCATTCCCAGTGCTGACCTGGTGCCCATGCCGCTGCGGGCCCGAGTCCTCAGCCCCATCCCATCCTGCAGCAAAACCATTTCCCAGGTGTCCTGTGTGCACTTGCCAGAGCAATGCGTGGGGATGGCATGCACTGTTCCGGCCACAGGGTTGTCTCGAGAGGCCAGCAGAGGCTCATGGGCTGGTGAGGAGCCAGGTGCTGCCTCTTCCCTCCCCACCTCTCCTAGGCCTTTCCCTTCCCATACTTGCGTCCACTGAGGAAGTCCTGCCTCACATGCGCATCTCCATGGCCTTCCTGCCCCAGCAGCATCCTGTGAGACTGGCAGGACCGTGTGGAGGTGCCACCTCCCCAGGAGACGGGAGGCTGCATGAGGTACCTGCTTCCCGGTGCCTGCCCTGTGAGGCCCTGGCTGTAGGGCGGAGGCCCGTGTGCATGTGGGCTGCCACCAGTGCCCAGAGACACTTCTGTTCTTGGTACAACTCCCTTTTCCCCTGGAACTCTCTGGCTTTTAGTTTCCCAAATCCACACTTCTCTGCTCACCACCTTCCCCCCCAGAGTGTGAAAGGCACCTCTCTCTTCACTGTCTTAATGAAACAGGGCACACGAAACAAATCTGACACAAGTCACAGGCCAGCTCCCGTCTCTCTTACCCTCGGCCCTTGGCGAGCCCTCAGTTGGAGCACAGCGGCCCAGCCTGAGAATGTCAACAGAGGCCCTGGGAATCAGGGCACAGCCACCAAGCTGCTGCTCTGGGAGGCCCACTGGACAGAACTGGATCCAGTGTCTCTGTGATAAGGACTAGTTACCTGAAAGGCCCTGGGGACCCACGTTCATGGGTCAGAACTGGGACCTGGCAACCAGCATTTAGCAAAGTGCCTTGGTGAGATTCTGATGATCAGTTGAGCCAGAGGACCCATGGGGCACACATCACATGTAACCTGCTCTCTCACCCACAACGGCTCCAACACCTGGTCCCAACGATACACCCTGATTCCATTCTTTAATAGTTGTAGACTATCCAACACGGGAGAGAGCACAATGTATCTACTCCCAGGATACATAATAAGCTCATCTCTAGTTTTTCACCATTACAAATGCTGCCCCCACGAACACCTCTACCTGTACATCTTTGTACACTTGCTTGAGAACTGCTGCAGGCTGAATTTCTAGATGTAAACAAATGTGGGGTCAAAGGATGCACTAACCTTAAACTGCCCTCCAAGAAAGCAGGCACCAAGCCACTGCCTCCACAGTCTCAGGCTTGGGCTAACTCCCATTCACCCTTCAAGCTTCTGCGTGATGCTACCTCCTGCAGGCAGCCTTCCTTGATCACCCAGGGAAGGCTGAGTGTCTCTTCTCTAAGGCTGACCACCATCACGTCACTGTCTGTGGGCCCCCACCACAGTCTACTGCCCACTTCCCAAAAAGATGGTCTAGAATACAGAGCAGGGGCTATGGTCTAGTTATCTCAGTGTTTCACGCACGTCAGTAGGTGCTCAGTAATCTGTCAAACTTCAGGCAAGCAAAATAGCAATCAATTCAACCAAGACTACATGAAAAGGTTAAGTTCCCAGAAACCATTCTGGGGGCTGAAGGTACATGGTCAGGCCTAGATATTAATTTTAGGACTAGCCTGAAGTCTTAGGGAGGCGTCTGTCTTCTGTCACTGTCACCACTAGGCAGGAAGACCTGACTCAGCTGCACCAGAGCCCTGATTCCAACAAGCACCACCAGGTGGTGCTACACCCCCACTAAAGTCAGGCACCCAGCCAACCTGTGGCTCAGCCCTGAGGCTCCTCCAGCCAGAGGAGGAGCTGCGATGGTCCAGGAGCCCCATTCCCTAAGGACACAGAAGGGCTGTTGGCTAAGAGGAGGCTCTGTCCACGGGTTTCAATGTCAGCATGTATTTCTAGAACAGAAAGTCACTTCCTCTCGCCCCCAGGAAGCCAGGACCTGCTCACATTACCTTTCCACGCTGCAGGGGACGTTTAAGGGGGTTCTGGTTTCTTCCTTGATGGGGCCATCTTCTTTATCCTCCTCAGGCTCATCCTTTACCCACTGGTGGTTTGGGAAGAATTCCTTGCACTTCCCGTTGTGCGGCTCCAGGATTCGTTTGGGAGGCCGGGGAGGTGGGGGCACGTGCTCAGGAGGGGGCTCCAGGTCCTCGTGGGAGAGCTCCTTCCATTGCTCCTTGAAAAATCAGCAAGAGGCAGTCCCATGAAAGTTCATGTTTGGCTGACTTGTCAGGAAATCTGCTCCCCTTGAAGTGAGCAGAGGTGAGGGCTGGGTGAGGGGCCCTCTTCTCAAGTCTCCAGTCATGTCCTTGGAAGATGAGATCTTGTAAAAATAAAGTCTATCTTCCCTATTAATGCTCCCTACGTGAGCACTTAAAAGGCAGAAATTGAAACACAGTGGAAATGTCCACAACTTTCTAGCTATTTAAACATGAAGGATAGCTGTTTCTTCTGACACGTGATACTGGTTTGAACTTTTACAAGTTTTACAACTAACAGCCTCCTTCTTCAGAGGCCAAAATTTTAAAACCAACACACCTGGATGAAAGCAAAAGCAATGCTGACCTGTACCGAAGAGTCCCCCATGATGTATTTGGCACCTTCGATCACAGCCAGGTAGGAGAAACGCAGCTGGTCTGCCGTCTGGATCAGCCCCATTCGAAACTTCCGCATTTCTAACAGAACTTTCTTGATATCAACAGAAGAAGGGTCTTTCCTCTTGTCCATCTGAAAGCCAGACAGGAGATACACTTCAGTGAGGTCCAGGCGTCAAGCACAACATGGCTTTACACGTTTACAACAAGCCTGTGCTGGAGGAGTGGTTCAGGTCTTACTCAGGAAAGATCCCAGCGAGGGAGGCGGAGTCTAGAACATGTAGCAAAATCGGGACCATCTGAGCACAGAGAGAAAAACGAGAGGGAAGGGGATTCTTTGGCTCTTCCTGGCTTCCATGTTAAAATTAAGAGCATCTCTTCAAACAAAGCTATTTAGGGTAAAGCTCCTTTCATGGGAGGGAAGCTGTTAAAAAGTGAAAATCAACCGACGTAACATTAAACTGACTCTATCTGAATAAAAAAAATATATATATATACACACACACACACAAAGAAAAACAATTAAAAAAAAGTGAAGATCAAAGCTAGTTTACTGCAGAGACAATAACAGTGACGCTACAGCCAGGCCAACGTGGAGGTTAAAATGTGCTCCCTTGTGCTCCCTTCTCCTCCCAGGTCTTCAAGGGCCTTCTTACCAGCAAGAGGCAAGTGTCAGCCAGACAGAAGGTCCCCGACCTGCCGATGCCCGCGCTGCAGTGCACCACGATGGGGCCGTGCTCCAGGCTGAGGGACCCCGACTCGCGGACTTTGAAAAGAAAGTTCAGGAAGGAGGCTGGCGATTCGGGGACTCCAAAGTCAGGCCATGTGGTATAGTGGAAATGTAAGATCTCTCGAGTTTCTTGAGACTGAAAGAGAAATATACTCATGATGATTCTAGGAGACTCACCTGTACAGAAATCGCTAACTCCAGGTAAGCAGGAAGTGCCTTCCCATCCACCTAACTCTAAGAGCAGTTTTAATTCTCATTTTTTCTTCCCGAATCCATGCACCCAGTCAACAGATATCAGTCCCCGAGGTGCCGGATCCTGTGCTCGACACTGGACCCCAGGTTGCTCCCGCTTCAACCTCGCCTTTCGGATGGACAGTTCTGCCCACAGAGCTCCCGTCTCTGCCGTTCCTCCCACTTGTGCTGTCTTCGTGGTTCGAATTGATTTCTCCCTGCTCCACAAGTCAAAAGGATGCTGCACTGCCACCCGCAACAATCCTGTCCTCGTCACCTCAGGGTTTCACATGGATGTGGAAATGTAACTGCATGTGTGGGATGCCAGGTCTGGGCCACTCAGGGCTTTACAAGACGGTTTGGATATCTTAGAGGATTGTCATTATACAGAGAAAAAGTAACCAACTCCAAAGACTGGAGGCTGCCACGTGTGGCTCAATATCCAGCTGAGCAGACGGTCCAGGCAGAGGAGGATGACCTGACCGGCTACACGGGCCCCACAAGCTCACCGAGTGCTCACAGCAATCCCTCGAGGCGGGGAGTCCCGTTATTTCCACTTCCCAGACTAGGAGACTGAGACTCAGCAGCCAACCCTCCATTAAGTAGGGAGCAGGAGTTTAAATCTAAGCTTGCCAACTCCAGAGCCCATGTTCAGAGCCTGTCACAGGAACTCTTGAAAGGCATATCCTTGTCCCCAAGAGCTTCTCCCCTGGCCCGATCTGCCCCAGTGGAACAGAAAGAAGAATGGCCTCTGGTGCTGTTTCCAGCTCTGCTCCTTCCTCTGAGCCTATGAGAGTCCACTCCCAGCGGGGGAGTGGGGGGGGCAGCTGGTCCCCAGCAGCAATGATCAGAATGTAGATCTCACTGAGGAGGGCGCTCCAGATGTTACTAAGCTAAGAACGCACAGTAACAGGAGCCAGGCACAAGGTAGGGCCTGCAGACAGAACCACACCAGCTGCACGGCACCAAGGGCCAAGTAAGCGCCTGGATCACCTGGAGAGCAGCTGAAGGTGAAGTGCTGAGCAACGATATCTCCCTTCATTTCGCAAAATGTCCATAACATGCCTCCCATGTGCCAGGCACAATGAGGTAAAGACTCAGCCCATGCCCTCCCAGAGCTCACAGCTTAGTTCTAACAACCTTCCCTGACCCTAGTGTGATGAAAACGTGAAAGGACCAACGATAAGGACCTAACATCAGCAAAGAACGCACAGGTGTCACCCTGCACCAGCTATAATACATGCTGCACCTTTCTGCAGAACTGGAAGAAATCTGCATATGACGTAAGGACAATTCATAGAACCACAGCAAACAATTCCACACCTTCCTCCCTACAAAGTGATCTTATATACTTTAACAGCTTAAAAGAGAAATGCATCTTCTTTTTTGGAAAAGAAAAGCACTTAAAAATAGATTTAAAAAACAGTAAAAAAAAAAAAAATGCCAAAAGCCAGTTCCTTCTTTTAATTCTCAAAAAGGTGTGGGTTATTTCCAGTTTACTCCCTCCCTCACATGCCTGCCCACCTCTTTCTCAAGGAATTCATTCTAGACTTGTGCTTGAACAAATCAGTGTCTGAGAAAAGACTTTTTCAAAACCACGTCTGTTAGAGCAGATTTTCTCAACACTGAACCCCCAAGCTGCTGCATCCGCTCTGCCACGCAAACAGCATACACCTCTTCTGCTCTGTCTGACCTCCGTTTCCCCCAACAAGCAGGAGAAATACTCTCAAGAGTCTAGAAGTCTCTCGTAATGTCAGGCTTGCAAATGCTGAAAAGCATTAAAAAGAAGTCTACCACATAATCCTCCCTGGCACATTCCAACACGCTGCCAACATTATTCCTGAAAATCCTCCATCAAACCCTCCATAAATCATGTCCCGAGAGCCCGTGTGGGACTGTGGCTGGGCTGGTGGCTCCAGGGCTGTCACACAAGGGAGCTGGGGACAGACCACACCGCTATACTCCTCAGGAGCCACACAATCTGAACCTCTTCTCCACTTCATGGTCACCTGTGCTAAGTTCTCCATCTTTCTCCGACTATGAATTGCACACCAAGAGTCGTGGTGACTATACAGCAGTAAGTTGAAAATTAAGATGTGAATGTGACTCAGGAACAGATCCTTCCTCTCGGAGCAGCCCCGCCAGCCCAATCCCAGTTTCCACTGCCCCTGCCTTCACTTCAGACTGTCCATCTGCACTGCCCCCGGGTAGTCCCAGGCCACTTCAACCCCACAGGACCTGCTAACCCAAGTGAGAAGACATCTCAACCAGGAACCGTCTGAAGCACTAAAGTGCAGACCATACTCACTGTGAGGTTTTCCAATTCTAGCTGTCGTACTGTGTAATATGACTTAATATCTTCAGAGATCAATGTCAATTTCAAATTTGTGTCTTCAAAGATCATTTCTTTTTCTTCTTTTTGTGGCCAGTACTGTGCACATTTTAACTAGGGGAGAAAATAACACTGAATTATTGGGAGCAACTGACTATTTCCCTACAGGGGTTTGAACCAGCTTTATGATAAGCCAAATACTCAGGGTGTTCTGACTTTGGAAGTCACCATCAATGTAATCCGCCTGCCTCCTGGGGAGGGACCTGTGAAGACCTAGACCAGGGCTAGTTGGGCAGATGGGACCTGCACTTCCAAACCCAGCTGCCCAGTTATCCACATGATGAAGAGTTCAGGGGGTCTGATCTCCCACTGTCACCTGTGAGGGAAGTCAGACTGTGCAAAGGGTCTAGACTCTCACAAACTACTTTTTGCAGCCATTTCAAATTTAGTGGCACACTTTGTTTGAGCTAGTTTCTACACCAGACATTTCTGGTTGCTGAAGACTGTTCTGGACAAAAACAGCTGCCAGGTCTACAAGCCAGAAGGACTGATGTGTGCCTACACAGGGATCCTCAAAGGCGGTATGACTTCCATCAAATGAAATATCAGTGTGTCTACACAGCTCTTTGGGAATTGGTACAAGTTCAAGATACTTGTAATTCCACATTCACTGACCCACTTAATACCTCCTCTGAGGCAAAGGATGATTGTGTCTGAAACACACAGTAGGTGGAAGGACCCCTCCAGGGCCACCCTCTGTAGGGAGAGACTGTTCATGGCCAGGTGACATGTTCACCTGTTCACGACAAGGTGACAAACCTGGGGGAACTGCCGAGAGGTAATGCTGTGGATGTGCCACGGGAACTGAGAAGAGGTAAATGTTTCAGGTCGGCCGAGGTTAAGGGAACTAGAGATCAAAGAAAACCCTGTAGAAGAAGTGGCTTCTGATGGGGCGTGTTCTGAAGGATGACTAGCATTTTCTAGGCAGTGACTGCAAAGCCAGTCTCAGAAGAGCAGTGGGAGATGAGCCCGAGGGAGGACAGGGCTGCAGGAACGCTGGCGGCAGGCCTGGGAACCTGCAGCGTCACCTGGGCCGATGAGGAGCCAGGAGGCTCTCGAAGAGGATGAAGACAGAACCACAAATGCCCATCAGTCCCGCTCTAATGGAAAACCAAAAAACAACAGGAGAAAGGAAAGAAACAAATCAAGAAACACCAGGTTGTGATGCCAACACAGCATCAGACTTTACAGTCTCAACACAGGAGGCCAATAGGGCTTCCCAAAGAGCCTGGACAGGGGCCTGTTTGGAAGTCTTGGCCACCTTCACCCAGGTGCCCATCTGCCAGCCACTCCGGACAGGGAAACACTAACTGCAGGGTGCAACCCCACACTCAGCCAAAGTGGGTGAGGCAGCTGACAGCAAGGCTTCAGAAGATGTTTAAAGAATGCATTTATTCCCACACTTCAAGTCATCAGACCTGTGTGATGCCTTGAGACCCCAGAAACACAGAGGCTGCCCTTATAGGTTCAAAACCACACATGCTGGAAGGGAACTCAACGCAGTGAGCGGACAAAGACTGACGCCAAGCAGGAGAAACAGAGGTTGGCCACTGCTACCAGAGTAGAGGCCAATATGTTCACGTCTCCTGAGCAGTGAAGATGAGTCTTAAATCTCACCTCCACATAGCAAGCACTCACTTTTAAAACTGAACATAAAGCCTTACAAATCTCTGTCATCTGGATAAAGACCAAGACTATGGAACTCTACAACTGAGGAGTTCTGGCACATAGTAAGTGTCAATCAACTGACACTTATTTAAAAATAGTTCTTAAGTAACTCTAAGGCATCTACAGCGACATGCCATGCTCTGCTCTCTACAGTCATTTCCTGTAGAAATTCTTGTTGTAAACACACAAAATCAAACAAACAAACAAAAATAAGCACAAGATCCCTACTTCCTGTTATCCCATTAAACTGATACACAGTGACCGGAAAAGGAGATTTATTTTATTAGAAAGCAGTCTTTCATCAGGGTTAAAATTGAGGCTTGTCTTGGGTTGGCACCAAAGAGCCACATGGCAGTGACAATGTGCTGGCATCTGTCGTGGCTGTCATTGCCATCATAAATGCAGATGTGAGAGTCCTTGGGTGCTTCTAGAACAAACAGGCCATCTTGAGGAAACTCCATGAAAAGTCATCTTGGGTGACCCAGTGACTGGTGATTTGGCTGAAAGAATGATGAACACTGAGAACTAAAAGCAGAGGGTGAGAGAGACGGGCAAAGCCTAAATAAAGTACATACGATACAAAGCCCAGCATCTGGGGCGTGAAAGCACTTGAAATCCAACGGCATTTTCGGTAGGGAGCTCAGGAGAGAGAACGGGCGACGCTTCTGGCTGAACGTGGTCTTGCTTATTACGCCCCCTGCCCAGACAACAAGCCCGGCCCTTACACACATGCACTCTGCGCTGTCATGTCTAAACTCAAGTTTTTAAATTGCACACACAAGAACTCTGGCCATTTGGATGACCTCGGTCTAACACACACAATCATTTTCTGCACAACTGTTTTCCAGGAAGCACGGGGTCCCAAAAGGGTAACAGGCAAGGTTTGCCAAAAATAAGAAGGGGAACATCCTATACTATTTGGCAAAAGAAGGAAACCAGAAAACAAATAAGCATTACATGAGAACGCTCTGCAAGCTGGTTTTCACCACGGGCTGTGTGAATTCATAATTAGATTAGCTGAGCAAACAAGACACTGTAATTTCTTGTAATTTCCTCCAGTCAGTCCTTATAGGGGTGATAACATTGATGCCAAACTGCAAATGTTTATTGTGAGGAAACTTTGCTGCTTTCCATGCCAATTTACATGCCCAAATGGCCCAGAGTGAGAAGAATAGCTACAAAGGAAACCAGGGACTAATGTCACATCACCACAGTCAACTACAGTAACAACCAACTAGTCTTCTTCTTTTTTTTTAATGGCCAACAAAGCAATCAAACAAGAAAGGTGGTCACGGTGGATTTGTGGTCCATCTGCGATGGGACACAGCCAAGAGCCGGGCCCGGTGATGAACACACAGCAGCAGTATCTGGACACCGCTCCTTGTTGGACTGTGACAACAGTAACTAAAGCAGATCATGTGCAAATAGCAAAGAGGTTTTACCTGAACTTTCAGTAACAAACAAATAAAAGGCAAATGCTACCATATTTATGGTTTTTGAATAAATAAGTCTTGATTTAAAATTCTCAACCTTCAATACCACTAGAAAGACTAGTTCTCACCTGGGGGCAATTCTGTTTCCCAAGGGACACTGGACAAGGTCTGGAGACATTTTTGATGGCCTCAATTGGGGGCAGGGGTGCTACTAGCACCCAGTGAGTGGAGGCCAGGGATGCTGCTAAACCCCCTCCGATACACAGGTGGGCCCCGACAACAGAGAGCCATTGGGTCAAACGTCAGTGGTGCTGAGGCTGGAAGACCCTAAGGCTACTCTGAGCTGAGCACCTGCAGCCGCCGCCACGTTTCACTTTCCCTTGCAAAGCACATTTGCTGTGGGAACCTAATGTTTTGTTTCTTTATTCAAAATTGCTGATGAGTGGTGACAGGTGGGGATCCGCCTCACATTTGCAACTTCACGTTTTACTAATGAAGCCACTGCAGAGAAAACTGAAAACCACTTTTACTGAAAACATTTTTTTCTAAGACAAGAAGCATTATTGCATCACCTGAACACTCAGGTAAGCTCTCTGTTACTACGGAGCAAATAAATACTTTTAAGAAAAGGAGGCAGAGGCAAAAATACAATTTTAAACACGTGCTGTCATAAGGAGACTCTCTGCTGGAACCAGGGCCGTTTCCTTCTGTGTCGGGGAGGGAGGAGGCTTTGCGGCGAGTGCTTTAGGTTTCCACTGTGAGTTTCCATTGATGCGTTCCTTCTCCGAACTTGTACTTTCCCTTCGGGGCTGTGACTGCGCTTTCTTTGGAGGAATGGCCGCTCCGGAGCCTTCACGTTCCCCTGGCAGGCCAGGTCCGAGTCCTGACACAGCCAGGACAGCTGTGAGGGCAGTGCCCCGGGCACACCCAGTTCTCTGGTCCTGGACCACACGTTGCTATGGGTCTCCACGAACGCCAGCTCACCTCCCTCCTGGGGCCTCCACCTGAGGCTGCCGAGCCCGGCTGTGCCGGCAGTGAGTGTCAGAGGGAGAGGAAAGACCCAAGGTAGCGAGGCCACAGCATCTGTGCACCAGGCTGAAGGCCACGCTGTGTGGGAAGGGAGGCAAGGCCACGGGGGACCCAAGGGAAGCACCATGGGATGCCTGGAAGTGGGCTGAGGGAGGGCACTGCGATTCGGCTTATTAGGCCAGAGAACTGGCATGAAACTAAAACAAAAAGAAGTTTGTTCTGGCTGGAGTCTGGACTGGAGGAGGGGAGTGGGGTCCAGGCTAAAGAGGGCCCAACCACACCTGGTCCTGAAGCCACCTTCAGTATATGCTGGGAGGCAGTGTGGGGCCCCAGAGGGTTTCAGCTGGGAAGAAGAGTGGTGAAACTCGGTTTAGGAAGATCAGTCTGGGTGCAGGGTGCAGAAGAGACAGCGGAGAGCGAGTCGAGAGGCGAGGGTAGTCTGAACACCACACACCTCTAGTCCACGCTGCAAAGAACTTGGAAGAAAGGATGACACACATCCTGAAGTGAAGCACAGGAGGACAATGCCCATGTTAAAGAGCTGTGGCCAGGAGCCACATGTCTGGGGATTTTACAGAGGCGAATCCAGGGTCCAGCTGTTCCCACAGCTCAGTTGAGGGGAGGCACACTTTTACCAGCCAGAAAAGCAGACATGAAGATACAGTAGGAACTTGCCTTTTCCAAATAAAACTGCTTACACAGCTCTGTAACCCAAGCACAGTGGCACAGGAAGCACAGGTGAGAGGAAAGCAGAACACACGCATCACCCCGGAGAGAGACTGACGGGTTGGGGGTGGAGAACAGGTCCCGGGCAATTTGACTTTTTTCCACCTCTCTTCAATTCACCTACTTACCTGACTTGTTTACAATAAACAGGTATTTATATATTGCTTCTTTTTATTTTTCTAATAAAAAGGACCATATGTAAAAGAAATATAAAAGCAATTCAAGGAAATAAATGCACACAAAAAAGTCAACTTTATGGACTGGCATCCACACGGACAGTCACGTAAACAGCAGCTAAATCTCTGACTCACCGATCCTTTCTCCATCACTCTGTTGAGCATGACAACGCCCCTGCTTTTCTGCTCCCACACCATCTCCCAGAAGTGACCGCAGGTATTGGGCAAAGGGCCCTGCAAACACACAATTCAGAGAGTGTATGTATTTTACACGTAATACACACGCTCCAGTGCAAGCTCCCTGTGGGCGGTTAGTGGACGACAGCGCCCTCAGGCAGCGTGGTGACCATGGCTGGGACAGGGACCCGCCTCTCCCGGCCTAGTGTAACTGCTATTCTATTTTCTACCACGTGGTGAAAAGGTCATTTCTGCATCCCAGGGCTGGTTCAGAGCCACAGAGGAGAGAACGCTGACTCTGGCTTCTGCTGGCCGGCTGAGGGGTGCCACAGAGACACATGCCTTTGGGCAGGTGGAACATGGGAAACTACTGGGTGCAGGTCAGAGGCAGCGAGGGGAGGGATCAACAGAGATGCTCCTGATGGCCTGAGTCCCAGCTCCAAGCACCTGCCACCTATGTGACCTCGGACAAGTCATTTCCCCTCTCCTCGCCTCAGCTTCTCCACCTGCTTCACCGACTAACCACAGCACCCATTCCCTAGGTTGTGAAGATGAACTATGTTCGTATACATATGAAGACCTTACCATAGCACCTGGAACACAGGAAACACCCAATAAAATGTTAGCTATTATTATTACTATCAATAATGCTAACCTGACCAGAGACAGCCTTCCTCCTTGGACCAAGGAACGTAAGAGATGTGGCCACACAAAATGTCAGGCAGGTGGCCCAAGGGGTGTGTTGTCACTGGGGCACTGGTGAGGGGGTGCCTGCCAAGCAGCTGGCCTGTTTCTCACTCTAGCCCACTTGGCAACGGGCACAGATGTTCACTGGATCGAGGGTACGAATGCTTCGAGTATGTCTCCATTTTTGGTGTCGCCCGGAAGAGCCGTGTCACCTATCACCTGCACAACAGAGCATGTCACCTCCTCTGGCCAGCACCACTTCTTTAAGAATGGTTTCCATTCTCACCTATTTTCATTCAGATTTTCCTTATTCTGTAATTACAGCTTTTCCCTTTAAGTCTCACCATACTTTCCTCGGCCACGTGAACCCTCAGTGCCCTCTTGCTTTCTTTCCTGAATTTATCTGAGATGTGCTACCTGAACCTGACAAATCTGTGCTCCACACAGTTTCAGACAACAGCGGATTCCACCAGGAACCCTTTCCAGGTAACTGACAGGAAGCCAGCTCCAGGGGCGGGGGCAGGAATCACGGGGCCCCCTGGCTGGCGGCCTGGACCGTTCATCTTCAGACTTGGGCACAAAGACCCAGCGGCCGGGCCCCCACAGCTGCGGCTCTCATCAGTTATTTCCCTACCTGTCAACATCGCCCAGTTCAGAATGGATCTGAGGGGTTAAAAATCAGGATAAGATCTGAAAGGACACACACCGAATGGAGCCAACACTTGGCGATGGATGTGAAGGCTGGCACCTGTGATACTGTTCTCTACACTTCTGTATCTTTGTTTTAAAAAATGAGACTATAGACTTGCATTATCTGCAGAGTGAACAACACTGAAAATAAAAAATGGGCAGGGTTTTCTTGGTTTTGTGGCTTAGAAAATGTTTCTGTTATACTGTCTATGGGTACAACTTCGGGGTCAGACTGCTTTGATCCCTTTTATAAATCTCAGGGCAAAGGAGACCACATGTATCGAGATACATCCATGGTACAACCTGATAAAACAGCCAGAACTTCAGATGCGCCAAGTAGCTGCTCGGGCACAAGGGCGGACAAAGGGGTAAAAGTTTCTATGACGTCTTCCTAGGCTCCAGTGACTGACTTTATATCCCCTATCTTTGTTTTGGGCTTCCTGACCCCATACCAAAGTTGAATGGCTGAAATTAGGAAGTAAGAAACTTGACTTCTTCTAAAAAGAGAAGTTCCCAAGAAGCCACTTTTGCCTCATCCTCTTCCCATCAACTTGCCACCACCAGTCTCCCTCTGGGGACTTACTCATAGGCCCCCAGAGCTGAACACAGCGTGGCTGATGCTCCCTACACTGACTGGGGGGCGTCAGGGTGGATTCTGGTCATGCGAGGAGAGGAACTGGGGCAGGACAAAAGAGGCAGTGAAGAGGGGTCACGGGGGATACGCTCTGCTCCCAAGCAGTCTGTTCACTGCTTTCTGGCCTCACCGTCATTTTAGCCTCCAAATATTAAGCAGAATTATGATGTTCACAATTACCCTATAACCCAACCATGAGACTGATAAACTGATAATGAAATGAGAAAATGAAAATCATGTTAAAAAAAGAGAGAGAAACCCAGACTGATTAGATAAAGACTTGAGAAAATTAATTAAAAAGAAACTCATTTATCCCCTTTCCCAGATACCAGTCATATACCAGTAAGTGCTTCACAAAAAGGTAAGTTATTAAACCACTTTTATGATTTTTTTTTCCCCATAAAGATGCCAAAAGCCAATGGGAATTTCAAGTGATCTCATATGCTATTCATATAACCTCATCATGCCCTCCCCCGCAATCCCAGGCAGAAGGAGGACCGCGCAGAGAATTCTGGTGTACGCTAACCCCCTTAGGTCTCCCCGAGCAGCACTGGGTGCCCTGGGTAGAACGCTTATGGACTCATCTCAGGCACAGGCTCTCCTCTGGCCACGGCTCTGCTGTCTCCATCAACAGACCGCAGGCAACTCTGGTATTTTACTGCTGTTTTCTAAAAATCCAGCAACATCATACTTCCCAGAAAAGATTCATGCCTCAACCAAGCTGAATCTCTGAAGGAAGGCTTTTCTTTCTTTGTTGCTTTTTTGGGTTGTTTAAAACCTAGCTGATCTTCTCAAGGAGGTGGCAGGTTTTATTTGAGGTGAAGATAACAGCACGCTCTGCAACTCTTAAGATGACATCGAGTAAGCCAAAAACATCGAAGAAAAATGTGGATGATCTGTTTACCTGGGTAAGAATGTAACTTCTTTGGGCTTCTTCCATTTTTATCAAACTAGCATTGATGTAGTCATTGTCTTCTTGATGGAGTTTAATCCGACTATGGTCAACTGAAAGACAAACCAGAACTCAGAGGTTAATCCCGGAGGACCCAAGTGTCCGCACAGGCAGCGTGCCCCATGGGGAAAGCGAAAGTGGTGCGGTGGTGGCTCTGAGGGTGTTCATATTGGTTGAGGTCGTGCTGTTTTAATTGAGATCAGTCATCAATATAGGAATGACTAGTATTTTCAGAAAGGTTTTTGGAAGTGTTTGAAACTTAACACCAAACAGCAACAAACTACACGAAAACATAGATTATGTCCTATTTGGGAAGTCTGTTTTTAGGTCACATCTTCCTATGATATTACTGTCCCCACAATGTGGAAGGCTCAGGGGAGAGGATGTCAAGAGATCTGTTCCCTGATGCCTAACAGATACTTCTATGGGGTAAAAAAATACAGTGGGTTCAATCTCTGAAAGGGAACAAACACACCAAACACTCCCCCTAGTCCCCGAGCTCTAGTTGGCACCATGAGCAAAGCAGGTAAGTTTTATGCCCCCGCCGTGACCTAACCTCTGCCTAATGGTCTGGAGACTAAACGGCCTAAGTATACAGCAGTGTGAAAAGTTGTACCTTGAATTCCTTGATACAAAGTTTTTTTTAAAGTTCAAGTATCAGCTAAATGTCAAGATCAAAGATACTTAAACGAGAATTGAATTATTAAAAATAAACTCTGACTCCAAAACACTGAAAGTATATTAATTGTAACTTTCAGAATAGTTTTTAGAAATAAACTTGAATTTAGAAGGTCTGCCCCAGGTTACTGAAAAAGCATAGTTACTTTTTTCCCCTTTATCATAACTTTGTCACAAAAGCAATGGTTCCCCGAGGGCTACTTTCCATATCCTGCTAGTGCAGCCAACAAGAACAGGTGGGTATTTTTATTTCTGATACAACACAAGGGACAATGAACTCAGGTGACCACCCATAAACAGTCCTCCCCTTGCCCAGTGGGAAAGGAAGAGTTAATGGGGATCAGTGGTTTGGGGCTTTCTTTGCTAAAGAATTCCAAAGAGACGTTTTTTGAAATTAGCCACTGTTTAGACTAACGTTTCTCATTGCAGAGGTTTAATATGAACTGAAATACTTGGGTAATACTTAAGTGGGTCTTGGAGATAAAAGACCTCAACAAAAACTATGCCTGGCATTGGTGATTATGTGAGTGGATTCAAACAGCACTGGGAGGTGACCTCGGGCAAACAACTTATCCTCTGAATGCTGGGCTGTTCACCTGCCTAATGGAAGATACAAGATCACCCTCTACCTTGAAACAGTCTCCCCATTTCCTCCATAACCTGGACAGCAAATTATCTTTTCTACTGGAGTGGAGGTAGGGGAGAAAAAGAAAAATATAAGGAGTGAGACAGGGTAGGGGTGAAGAAGTTTGGAAATTACATCTCTGGAACAATATTTTAAATGCTGGGTTTTTTTCTCTGTAAAACTGGTTTATAGGACCATTTAGGTGACCACTGATCAAAAACGTAGAAAAAGAGTATTAAAGACAACATTACTGCCGAATTCAGAGCAAGTACAGCAAAAGCCAGAGCCCAAGGGTACCCTGGCACCATGTGAAAACTCGAGCAGTGATGGCTGCCTCAAGCTCAGAGAGGCTGGCCAGGGCCTCCCGGCAGAATCACCTGAAGAGAGGTTATTATGATTATTTTTAAAATAAAACCTGTGAGATGCCATAGCCTAGATGTCCTAAATAAAGAGTATCTAGCACTGGGGCAAGATCCTGTGTCACTGGACCTAGAACTGCGCTCCGGAAGTTCCTGGCGCACATCTTCAGTTAATGACTGAGCCAGACCCTAGGCCAGGCGGCTTATGTTACTTTATTTCATCTTTGCACAAATCCTGAGATCGGTGGGACACTTGTTTGACTGAAGATGAGAGGAGAGGGCCACCCAGCTCTGAGGGGCAGGGGGAGACCCTGCACCAGGCAGGGAGGGACCCACGGCAGCAGTCGGAGGCAGTCTGCTCTGTGCAACCAGGTCTGACTTCAATCCCCTCCCAGGGACCTGAGCGCTGCACAGGTCAGGGCAGGAGGCACCGAGAGCCGCCACTCAGAGAGCGCAGCCAGCCGCAGCAGGCCTGCCTGCACCTCCGATGCTCCTAGCAGAGAACACTGGCCTGGGGGCTGTCGGTGGCTCCAGCCCTCATTGACTGACAGTGGCCACATGGAGATGAGTCTGTGGCCTGGAGGAGGTGGCAAAGTTCATAGCCTTTACTCAGCTCCAGTTTTTCTTACTTTTGACAAATTCTAACGTATTTAGTTAATTCACTTTCGTGATATCAGTGGATTGAGAGCCAATTACTCAGAAGGCAGAGGAGGCTGCCACAGGCACACTGAGACCTAATGGCAGGAAAGAGCTAGAAAATAATGATGCCGGAGGGGGTGCGGGTGGGGTCAGCCAGCAGAGCCTGCCTGTCTTTGGTTGAGGGGGTGAACCACTCCCACCCCTTCATGCCTCTGCAGGGCGTCGTTACACTTGAGAATACAATGCTCGGGGCCTAATAATACTGTTGCTGACTCATCCAGAAGGGGTTATATTATGCTTGCGATACTCTGCTTCAGCTGGCAGGAAAATGATTCATCATTAAAGTAGTCAAGGCTAAAAAAGTGCTTTGAACTTAGCTGAATTTTCCAGAAACTGAAACCTTACCCCGTCTACAAGGGCGGAAAAATGCACCATTACTATAAGTCTCTAATGCTTTTATTGTAGGAAACAATCAAGTCATAAACCGTTGCTGCTATCGATTTATCACCAAACTCCGGGGCTAAAGGAGTCTGGACTGAGAGGCCGTGCAGCTCAGGAAGAGCCTGAGGAAGAGCCGACGCGATGGAAGCAGGGTAATGGCGATGTGAATACTTACAGGGACTGACATCTCTGTACCTGTTTCGGTTTTTGTTTTTAGGAAGCTTGGCCACTCTACATGGGAAATCACTGGCTTCGTGCCGGATATCCTACAAAAGAAGGATAAAGAGTGCACTCTTGAAGTCTCTGGCTTCAGGAATTCATCAAGATAACTGAGCGTGGGCCCTATGCCAGGCACCGAGGAAGACCCAGGGCAGAAATGGACAACAAAGGGAGCCAGGCAGTGTGGGGAACGCAAGGTGCTAATTCAGAGGCATGTACACGGTCATAGGAGGAAAACAGGACAGCAACAACCACATGCCTGGGGTGGCACGGGGCTGGAAAGATGCTGAAGAGGACAGGGAGCGGGAGAGGGGGCGTGCGCATCTCTGGAACACGCAGCACAGCTGAGGCGCGGGGGCTGGAATTCACACTTATGCGGGAACAGTGAGTGGGCATGGGGCGGGGGGCGGAGTTGGGGAGCAGATCTTGGAGAGTCAGGACTGGGAGTTCCATATGTAACCTTTTGTAAAGCTATAGTTATCAAGAGCAGATAAAATGCACTTTTATGCCAACAAACTATCCAAATGTTTTCCTAGGAGATGATAAACAATTCCCATTATACCAAACTGCCAGAAAGAGCAAGTACCAGAAGACCCCATTATGTCTACGGCTAGGCTGATCACACACATCTAATTTTTCTCTCCTAAATCACCTCTACCGTAATCTCACGTAAAAAATCTTTTCCTTTAAGTTTGTACTTTACTATTATAAAGATAAGCTCGTACAACAATATGAATGTACTTAATGCACTAAATTGTACACTTAAAAATGATTACAACGGTAAATTTTATGCTATGTATATTTTAAACAACAACAACAACAAAAAAAAGACAAACCCACAAAGAGAACAGGAGAGCAGACAACAGCAACACAACTTTGGAAGCTGGAAATCACACCGATTAGTAGCTGACAGGCCTGAGAAAGCTCAATGAATAGCCAGCAGCAGGGAAAGCAGAAGAGAACCGTCCAGATTTCCACCACAGAACCCCTCAAAGGCTCAGGAAGTTTGCTTCTTTGGAAGGAGGGGTGGGATTTACTGCAGGGGAACTGGATCTTCACCTCCACTCCCCCAGCGCCCACTTCCCTGTTGCGGGGTGACTACTGACTCACACCTCTGCAGAAATATGGAGATTTATTTTCTGGAAAATGTAAGTCAGGGGATAGAGTGCTCTCTAGATGATCTGAGCAGACAAGAGGAAAGACCAAAATGTGCCATCACAACGGTATGTGACTAACAGCCCACCCCTACCTAGGGGCCGAGCCGGGGCCGAGCCAGATCTGTGCTGACAAGCCCCTTACCCCTGCTCCGAACCTGCCTTCTGCCCTGTGAGCTCCTCCTCTTCCTCATGTACAGACTAATGATTACAAGATGTCAGAGGAAAGAAAGCCTCCAATGCAAAAGAGATTTAAAAGAAAAAACGGGAGGGGGGGAAGCCCCTTGGAGAAAATAAACTGCAGGGACACAAAGCTTATAATATATATATTTTTAACATACTCAGAAAGATAAGAGCTTAACTGAGGATTCAGAAGATAAAGGTAGAAGAAATCCTTCCAGAAGATAAAGCCTAAATAAATAAGTGAATAAATTTTAAAAATAGAAAATTAAGTTAAACAAAATACAAGGAAAGAAAACATTAAAAAATAGTTCAAGGAAATCTCCCAGACACACCAAGCACTCATCATAATGATAAAACCAGACCCATACTGACACACATTGATGTGCAATTTCAGAATCCTGCGGACAAAGAGAATATCCTGTAAATTTCCAGGAAGAAAAAAAATAGTTCACTTTGAAAAGATAAGGTGATCAGAATGCCTTCAAATTTTGCAAGAAAAAACTGAAAAAGCTGGATGGCAATGGGGCAATGCCTTCAAAATTCTGAAGAAAAATGATGTCCAATCTAGAATTCCATATACAGTCCAATAATTGTCAAGTAAGAAGGGACAAGAAAAACTTCCACATATGCAATGTCTCAAAAACTTCACCACCCTGCTCCCTTCTCTCAGCAATCCACTGGAGCATGCCTCCCACCTGAAGGAAGAAATAAACCAAGAGAAAGATGTAAGATACACGGGGCTGGCGGCTGGTTGCAGGGAAGGATCCAACACACAAGCAAAGGCACATGAAATTTCCACAAAATCTGTGATGGGGGCGCTCCCAGCATGACAATTGTGCACCAGCCCAAAGAGGCAAGCAGGCAGATTAGAGCAGAGTGACTCAAGAGATGGACCTGTCAGCAACATGCCTTCATCCACTGCACAGACCACATGAAACCACTAGAGAGAAGTGAGGAGAACACCCGAAGTCCAGAAAAACAGGGACTCCAACTGAGAAGCAAGGCAAAGGAAGTCTCAAGATGGCAGCTGTATGTGGCAGCCTACAGGCCAACAGCCGAGAGGAGGAGAATGTCTACGAGATCAAGGCTGAAGCTCAGGAATCACCTGAAACTACTCTGTCCAATACAGCAGCCACCAGCCACGTGTGGCTACAGAGAGCACTTGAGGTGTGGCCAATTTGAAAAGAGATGTCGTAAAAATACATTTAAGAGTAAAAATACTCATCAGACTTTGATGACATAGTGCTAAAAAAAGAAAATAAAATATCTCAAATATTTGAAATATTGACTACTGGTTGAAATAACATTTTGAACACACTGGGTTAAACAAGCTAAACTATTAATTTCATCTGCTTCCTTTTACCTTTTTTACTGTAGCTATTAGAAAAAGCAGAAATATATATATGGGTTGCACTCTATTTCCATTGGATAGCACTGACTGATTTTGTGGGAAGTTTTGAGAGGCTACTAGGTTAGGAAGAATTAGCAACAGGTAGAAAGAAAACTGCAAATGAAAAACACAAGGCAATTATTGACAAAAGGAAAATGTACTAAAAAGGAAACAGTGGGGTACAACACTACATGTGACTACGTACACAGGCAAATAATGCGAACAATGAATACTGTTTTAACCAAAAACTGTAACATATTGGGAGAATGGGGGAGGGGAAGCAAAGGGGAGAGAAAGAAGGAATAGCTGTTTAAGAAAATGAAATCCTATGCCTTAGTAAAGATCTACATTAATGAATCAAAAGAGAAACATTTTCCTTAGAAATATGGAAATAAACACAAGCTGGAATCAGCAGCTTCAGAAGTTGAAAATGGTCATCCATGAAGAGGAAGACTGGGGAACGGGCTGGGGTGTGGGCAGCAAGGAGGTGGATTTTATTGTAAAGCTGTATCACGGTACTATTTACTTCTTAAACCATGTATACATTCAACTTGGACATTTTAAAAAAAGAATGCCTACATTCTGCTACTCTACTTATTAATAACACTACAAAATGGCAAGGAGGAATTTTTGACTTAAACCAGCTAATCACTTGAAAGCATGATCATGGATTACAAACCTATTTGGGATTAAACAAGTTAGTCCACAGGAACATTCCCATCACATCATTTATGGATGAGATTAAGCTTTCAGGGAAAAGCTACACGGCACAGAAAAATGACTTAAAGGAATAAAATCTAGGCTTTAAATTTGTTGTCCTACTTATATTTGGAAGCATTTGTCAGTAAATTCGAATTCTGCCTTGTGAGGTGAAACAATCTGATCAATCCAGCTGGTGTGACTGGATGAAAATGGAAGAAATAATTGACAGAGATAAATCACTGAACTAACAAATACTCATCCTGCAGAAATAAGGACCAAAATACCAACACTGCACAAGTGATTTTATTCAGCCAAAGGATTTATTAATCTTCACTTTTTTGGTAAGGGGGGGAGGGCAAGGAGACACAGCAAAACCTGGAGATTTTAATAAAAATACTGGGAAAATAGAATTTATTCACACAATTCTTAAAAAAAGATTCTAAAATTAAGGTATACTCATGGAGTAAAATAGACAGATCTAAAGTGTGTAGTTCAATTAGTTTTTCTCAATCAACTTAAAGGTATAATTTACAAATAATAAAATATACCCAGTTTAAGCATTTCCCTACTTTAGAATGGCATATGGGAAATACACACATGCTTTGAAGACAAATGTTTACATTTCACTTATTAAAAATGTCAGGATTATAGTCTTAAAAGTAAGGAGTGATAAAGTACTTTTAAAATTAAAGATACCTACCAATAGTGGTTTAGAAGAAAGTCGTACAATTTGCTATATAACTATAGCAAAACAAGTCTTCTGTATTCTGAAACTGTATCAAAGGTGTGCTAACTTTCTAACAGGTGTAGAAAAGACAGATCACTGGCTAATGAGCAAGTTTAGGAAGACGTCCACACAGGCCTAAACTATCCCTAGAAAATTTTTTATTACTCGGATCAAAGATTACATAATCCACCAAATTATGTAAACTTCCACACAGATACAAAAAATAAAATAAAGGCCTTAAAGCTGATGATGAGAAGATGAACGCTGGGTAAATTTAGGAGCCAAGCCAAAAAGGAAATAATAAACTTTCCATGAAACAGATTCCCAGAAGTATCCCCTATTAAAAAAAACCCCACTGAACATTTCAAGAATCATTCAAAGTGTACCTCAGCATTTCAGGGATGGGATCACACTAAATGAGAAATTTTACGGGTGTGAAATTAAATATACCAACAAATAGATAACCTATCCCCCTCCTTCCCCTAGACAGTTCTTCATTGGCTTTTTAAGAGCCTACTTCCTATCCTTAGTGTAGGTTTCAGAAATGTGATAGAATAAAACATCATATGTAATAGATGTAACAGTCATGCTCTCCTAGAGAATAAATCTGATAATGTGCTACCGAGGTGAGGCTCAAGTATGGTCAATGCCTACAGGTTAATGGCTTAAATTACTCTGTGTATCATTTTATATAGGCATTTGGGCACCAATGAATCGTCTCTATAATGAATCATTTTCATGAGAGAAAGAAAGTTCTTCCAAAATTATGATTTAGCTGGGCTAGAAAGCTGGGCTACAAATGCTTGGTAAAGTTTAAACAAAACATCTGAACTGGAAAGCTTACGAGGCAAGGAAGTCAGCAGGGCAGAAACCCATATCACCTGAATCATTTCTAACGCTGGTGCTTGATTTCCCAT